CATTGTAGCCTTTGGTGGAGCTCAGAGCCAGCCAGGGTGGGCGGGAAGCTTGTCTTCCTCCATCACTGGGGCAACCAAGCCTCCTGCTTGCTCCAGCTCCATGGACACGGCCGGCTGAAAGCAGGTATCTGGGGTTTATTTATCTTCTATAATTGAAACTTTGTTGCCTTGAGTGGAGCTCAGAGCCGGCCCCGGCAGGCGGGAAGCTTGTCTTCCTCCATCACTGGGGCAACCAAGCCTCCTGCTTGCTCCAGCTCCGTGGCTGCCAGCTGCCATCTTCGTTGTGTTAATTTGCATATAGTCACTCTGATTGGCTGGTGGGAGTGGTTTAAGGCATAGCAAAGGTACAATTTGCATGTTTTTCTTTTATTAGTGTAGATATCATATATATATTTTATATATATATTATATATCCTATATAACAAAAGCCTAATATGAAAATTGTCCCCTTGGGCAGTCGTTCCACTGGGAGTTCAACCACTTGCTATGATGTGCGCTGACAACCAGGGGGCGGCGCAGAACATGGTGGACGTTGGTGACATGGCGCTGGCGCGGGTGGCAGAGGAGGTGCTGCCAGCCTTGATGGGCCCCAACAAGAGCAGGACTAAAGCAGAATGGTGGAGCAGGTGAGCGTCAGTGCCAGGCCAAGGCAGGTACAAGCGGGGGCCAATCGCCACACAGATGGCAGCCAGCAGTGGCAGCGGGGGGAGAGGGGGTGCCTCCTGGCTCCCAGTCACTGAGGGATCCAGGCAGGGGGAGTGGGAGGGGTTCCAATTGATCCCCTCGCAGGCGGGATTGTGGAGCAGATGTGGGGGTGGCACCAGGCCAAGGCAGGGTGCCAGGCAGGGCTGTGGGGCTGCAAGGCTGGGGTCATGAGCAGGGACCCAGTCCCCACAGGCCACCCTGAATGACCCCATCTGTGCACGAATTCGTGCACCGGCCTCTAGTGTGTGTGTGTGTGTGTGTGTGTGTATATATATATATATATATATATATATATATATATATATATATAAATTTTCTTTTGTATATATACTTTTATAAATATATAATTAGAAGCCAGGTGCACGAAATTCATGCACGGGGGGGTGGGGGGTGTCCCTCAACCCAGCCTGCACCCTCTCCAATCTGGGACCCCTTGAGGCACATCTGACTGCCCACTTAGGACCGATCCCATTGGATCGGGCAGTCGGACATCCTCTACAATCCAGGACTGTTGGCTCCCAACCACTCGCCTGCCTGATTGCCCCTAACCACTTCTGCCTGACAGCCTGATCACCCCCTAACCACTCCTCTGCCATCCTGATCGATGCCTAACTTCTCCCCTGCCAGCCCAATTTATCCTAACTGCCCTCCCCTGCCAGCCCAATTAAGCCTAACTGTCCTCCCCTGCTGGCCTTGTCACACCTAACTGCCCTCCCCTGCCAGCCTGGCTGCCCCTAACTGTCCTCCCTTGCTGGCCTGGTTGACCTCAACTGCCCTCCCCTGCAGGCCTGGTCCCCCCACCCCCAACTTCCCTCCCCTGCTGGCCATCTTCTGGCAGCCATCTTCTGTCCACATGGGGGTGGCCATATTGTATGTTGGAGTGATGGTAAATTTGCATATTACCTCTTTTTTATATAGGATATATATTTTTTTTCTTTTTTGTATTTAGTTTTTTTTCTTCTTATATACACTCATTCTCTACCCACCTCCTCTATACTGAATTGTGGCTATTTTCCCATTAATTTATTTCCTTGACCTTATCTTCTGGAAATAAGCTCTGCTTCCTCAGATTCATCTGGCTGTTTATTGTTTGGGGGGGTTGTAGTTTACATATTTTGGATTAGTTATTGTTTGTAGTTTGCATTCATCTCTGGGTGTTTGTTGTTTGCATTTTTTGGATTAGTTGCTGTTTTATTGAATTTTCTCCCAATATACATATACTTTCCCTCCTTTTTTCTTCTCTTTCTTTCCTCTCTCACATTTTTTTCCTCTTCTCAATATCATTTTTGCACACTTTTCTATCCCCTAACTCTCTTTTTTCTGGTGGTCACCTTTATTTGGGGTAATAGTGTTTGGTGCTCTTTGCATTGTGTCTTCTTCTGATGTATGTTGTGCCTTTCAGTCAATGCAGGAGAGAGAGAGCTACATAACCAGACATCCAGAGAGGAGCGTTTATGGGGAGACAAAGAAATAGCCCACATACAAAAGAAAAGAAGAACTCACCAGAAAAGGAAGTAAACAAAATGGAGGCAAGCAATATGTCGGAGAAAGAATTCAGAGCAATGGCCATAAGGTCACCGAAAAGAATGGAGTACAAATTCAACATGTGTAAGAACCAAGAGGGAATGAAGAAGAACCAAGAAGAAATGAAAAATGACATGACTGCAATAAAGAACTCAACAGGAAGCATCAACAGTAGACTAGAAGAAGCAGAGGACCACATCAGTGAGCTAGAAGACAAGGTAGGAAAAAATACCAAAGCAAAGCAGCATCTAGAAAAAAAATTAAAAAAAGCAAAAACCTGGAAGCTAAATAGTATGCTACTAAACAATGATTGCGTTACTAAAGAGATCAAAGAAGAAATAAAAAACATCATGGCAACAAATGACAATGAAAACACAACCATCCAACATCTATGGGACACAGTGAAAGTGGTCTTGAGAGGGAAGTTCATAGCTCTACTGGCCTATCTCCAAAAACAAGTACAATGGCATTAAATTATCTAATCCTACAACTCAAAGAGTTAGAAAGAGAGCAACAAGAAAAGCCCAGTGTAAGCAGAATGAAGAAAATAATAAAGATCAGAGGGGAGATAAACGATATAGAGACAAAAAAAAAATACAAAAGATCAACCAAACCAAGAGCTGGTTTTTTGAAAAGATAAACATGGAAATTATTTAAAAAATATATTTTTATTGATATTAAAGAGAGGAAAGGAGAGGGAAAGAGAAAAATCAATGAAAGAGAAACTTCAATTAGCTGCCTACTACATGTCCCTTACTGGGGATTGATGCCGAAACCTGTGTCCTGACCAGGAATCAAACCAGAAATCTCTTGGTGCACAGGCCAATGCTCAACTAACTGAGCCACACAGGCCAGGGAAAATTGGAAATTATTGATTCTAGAATCAGAATTTTAATTGCTACAGGCCAGCAGGACTCTGGGTCCATGTGTCCCTTCCAGGCTTATCAGGATACCAACAATCTGGAGTCCCATTTTTTAAAAAATATATTTTATTGATTTTCTACAGAGAGGAAGGGAGAGGGCCAGAGAGCCAGAAACATCGATGAGAGAGAAACATCGATTCAGCTGCCTCCTGCACACTCCCCACTGGGTACGTGCCCACAACCAAGGTAAATGCCCCTGATCAGAATCGAACCCGGGACCCTTGAGTCCACAGGCCAATTCTCTATCCACTGAGTCAAACCGGTTAGGTCTGGAATCCCATTTTTATATGTTGAGTTCAGCTGTCTCCTTCCCCACCAATGTCAATGTATACAGGGAGCCAGTGCACAAAAAGCATGCACCCTCAACCTCTCCACACACCCCGTGGTGGAGAACTGTGCCACTGACATGCCTACCTACATCCTGCTCTCCACTCGCTCCCCACATCCTGGGTGGTAGGGGAGATGAAGCTGGATGTAGGCGTTTCTACAACCATCAGAACATTATGCTCACTATTGTGATGTGGGTATTTAGAACCATCATCTTTTCCTCTGCGTCTCACATCATCGGCACCAATATGAAGTCATTGGAGCACCCAGCCGCATGGACCCAAGGGGACATTCTGAAGCTGCCTGGACCCTCAATAGCTCCTTCAGCCTTTTACAAAACAATTGTACTATCCCCTACATCTTCACGGCACTTCATAGTTAAGAAATCTCTCTAATTAGCATCATCTCATCTAAGTTTTCTGAGCTGTAATGGGTCAGTAGAATAATTTTTAAAAATAAAGGGTGAAATGGGCTCAGAGAAGTTGAGTAAGTTACAGGAGGTCACAGAGAAGTGGGGGATCGCTTGTCCTAGTCTGGAGTCCTTTCTACAACACCAAACAAATTATAGACATGGAAACAAATACACTTTTGGAGAAAGATAAAACTCCTTATGGGAATAAGCTTTCCATTACACATTTAGAGATAAAGCTAAATGCAAACCTTCCCCTGATTGTGGGACAGCATTAACAAACGTACCACACGCTTTCACATATTTAAAAATATTAAACTAATTCCAGGGTTATAGGCTTGATTTAAGATATGGTAGTTAATAGAAAAGTTCTAGATAGAAAATAATTTTAGCAAAACTGTACATCTGTATATATGCACACATTTAGAAAACATATTGCTTTAGATGTTTATGCCATTTCTTAGTTACCATTTTACATATCCACACCTGCTTCATCCCTATACTTTAACCCACCATATTAAATTTTAGTTATGTATGACTCATTTTCAGTTAATAAGAAATAATTAAGGTCATAATTAATATGTTTTAACCAATGAAGCACTTTCATGAGTAAAAATCCAGATTTTTAAAATAAGTTTCTAGGAATAGCTCAGTTTTCACATTTAATATCTGAACCTCATTTATCACAGGTAGCACGAAATTGCTTTTATTTTAAAGAACAGTTATATATTAAGAGCAAAGAGTATAAAATCAATAAATATACTCCCCTGTATCATATAAAATGTGTGTGACACATTTCCCTAAGACATTTCCTGCATTTAGACATCCTGGTCCATATTCACCTAAAAGTCTGAGTATACCCTTTCCCTGGCAGTTTTTACCTTTGGGCTTTGGTACATTTCATAGAAAGGAAAATACAGGCAGTGGAAGTAGAGGCAGAAGTAGACGACTTCGAGCACAAGAGCCCATCAAATGTATGTTGGGGACAAGTAAAATGAAGAACTCTTCCACTGGGCTTCAGTGACTAAGGGTGGCAACGGTACAAAATGTGCAAGAAGTCAAGGAAATCCTTTTCCTTAATGGGAAAGACGACACCATGCAACGTGAGTGGAGTGATTAAGAAGAAATGTTTATTGGATTCAATTACTCAGCTGATGGCTAATCTAACTTTCACTTTGTGTTTAAATATTTGTCTGAAAAATGACTTCACATCATTTGTATGGCCTCAGAATTTCAGGACGGTGCGGATACTGAAACACAAAATTAAAGATATTATTTTAATATTTATGTAGTTCACACTCTTCCATGTAAGAGTCTAAGGGGCATTTGATGTGTCTCTGTGAACAGGTGTCTGTTTCCTGCCACTCCATTGCCACACGTATGCATTCAAGTCAAAGATAGTTCACCTTTTCCAGGTTTGGTCTTGTGTTTTCTCCAACCTTAAACTCAAACCTGAACATGGCTGTCATTTAGGTTTTATTATGCATTGGGATTCTCACAAAACATTTTTAGAGCCTACATGCTTGGCATAATAGTTAATTGAAAACAAGAATGGGTAATGAGTTTTTGCTATTTGTCACATACTCCATAGGTGTCCCTTGTGTATTTTATCACTTAAACTCAACAATGCTATAAGGCAGACTTTAAAGATTAAATATTAAAGATTTAAAATACTGAGGCTGCCCTGGCTGGTTTTGCTCAGTGGATAGAGCGTCGGCCTGTGAACTGAGAGGTCCCAAGTTTGATTCCGGTCAAGGGCATGTATCGTGGTTGCGGGCACATCCCCAGTGGGGAGTGTGCAGGAGGCAGCTGATCAATGTTTCTCTCTCATTGATATTTCTGATTCTCTGCCCCTCTCCCTTCCTCTCTGTAAAAAATCAATAAAATATATTTTAAAAAATACTGATGCTTAGAGAGATTTGTAACTTGCTCTAGGTCACACATCTGGTGCAAATTGCTGGGATTTAAACCTCAATGCAAAATTGCACAAATTATAAGATGACGGGTATCTTGCCTGAAGGAAACAATGATGTAACAGTAAATGATGAAGATTTAACAGAGCTCTGATAAAGTGGTGCATAAGGAGATAAAGCTGATTTGTATTTAGAGAGACTCCATTCTTGGGAAGATCAGACATATAACATTTACACTACAACTCATGTTCTTTCTCAGAATCATCTTCTGATGAATAAATACTTTAGAAAAGGTCTTCATGCCTTTAAAATTTATATTAAATATTATATTACATTAATATTTAACATAACATTTACATTAAATGTTACATTATATTAAAACAATCCCAATGTAGTTCCACCTACTCCTATATGTAATTTACATTTATAGCCATTAATGTCAACCTTTTTAACTGGCCAGGCAGAGGCTTCAGTGACTCCAGGTTATGCTTATGACAGCAGGACTCTGATTCTTTTTCTTAGCAAGGGTGAGTGTAATTTTGTATATAAAGACTAGAGGCCTGGTGCACAAAATTGTGTACTGGTGTGGGTGGCTGGGGCGAGGGGCCGCAGCTGTTCTGGTAGTTCCGCTGTTTAGTCGATTTGCATATTACCCTTTTATTATATAGGATGAGTGGCTTTGATCATTTAGATTCACTGTAACCAACATATGTAATTTCATTTCAGCAGAACAATGTTTCAGCAGGAAATGCAAAACAACTGTTCCTAGCTTCTCACAATATGATCTTAAATCTTCTACATGCAAAGACTGAACTACTAATGGAAAACCAAGGCACTCCAATGTTTTCATCATACTTTCAGCTCTTTTCTCTATTAATCAAACCCCCACCATAAAAGGAAACTGAAAAACTACCTCTTTCCAGAACGAAGCAGGTCAAATGCTTCATTTATTTTCTCAAAAGGTAAAACATGGGTTATTAATGGATCGAATGAATACTTCTTAGCCATAAAGTCAGTCACAAGTTTGGGGACGGAATCTTTACTCTTAAAGCCTGAAAAGAACATGACATCATTGTTAGAGGCAGCCAGGGGTAAGAGACTGGAGAGGAGACTTTCTGAATAGAATTCAAGTGGAAGTTCTACTGCTACTTACTTGTACACAGACTACTATTACTGAGGTCAGTGAGAGACCGAGTGCTCCAATATCCTCTTGCAGTGGTTAGACTTTGCGTTGTTGTTGTTGTTACTTAAAAAAAATCTGACCAGCTAAGCTAGGGTCCTTAGTTATTAGCTCTCTCACAGAGAAATTATTGTATGCATGGTTATTCCCAAAGGCAAGGAGCAAAATGTGCAGCTGTCTAGATTTGGGCAATGAGAGTAACCATGAATTATTGCTATGGATTTCCTGTGTCCTCCTAGGCATATTTCATGCCTTGTGCAGTCACATGTATAAAGAGAAGTGGTGCTGAAAGACACTAGTTTATGGGGACACCAGAAAAGCCTGCCTTGGGAATGTGTGTATTAGTTCTACATCTCGTTGATTTGGAGCCTGTAGATGTATTGGAGCCTACTAATTTATTTCAAACATTTTGCTTTTTAAAACCTGGCTTTGTCACTTGATGAAGGGGAGAAATCCTGAGATTAATAAGAATTCAGCCCTATTGGAAGGCAGAGGAGGGTGGCAGTGGGCAGGGGTAAGAGGTCAACCAAAGGACTCGTATGCATGCATATAAGCATAGCCAATGGACATGGACAGTAGGGGGGTGAGTGCATGTGCTAGGTGTCAGGAGAAGGCGGGGAGAAATCAATGGGGAAAAAAGGCGACATATAATACCTTCAACAATAAAGAATTTAAAAAAAAAAAAAGAACTCAGCCCTCAAGCCTAATACATACCACCAAAAATTGCTCCTGTCCAGGTACGCCCACCCAATAACAGCATGGGGTTCACAGAGAGATTCTGGGAATCAGGAGGTACTCCTACAATGACGCTTACGCCATATGCCTCTTGGCAGCTTGCCAAGGCAGCCACCTGGAATAAAATTAATATCTGGCATCATTGAAGTGGACTTTCTGATAGTCTTCATTCCTGATACATGGTATGTAATTTTGATTTTGCTAGATTGCAAACATGTGGAGGGAAGAGATTATATGTCTTTGGCTTCTTGGATCCCATTATGCCCAGAATAGTGTTGTGGTTTTGGGAAATGTCCAGAAAACACTTTTTGAATGAGACAATGGGTGAATGAATTTGTGTACACTTAATTTTTCCTTAATAACGTAATGAAGAGGTAAATGTTATTACAAATATATCTATGTAAAGCCTGATTCCTCAAATACAAGTAATGTTTTGTCATCACCCAATTGTCAGGCAATCTATGAGTTGGTTAACTCATTTTTCATTTGCATATTAAATAGTATTTTGAACTCAGTACTTTAAATCAGGTGTTCTGATGGTGAATAAGATATAAGATCAATTATATCATCACAATTTGTCTTTTGTCCACTTGATGGTCTCCCTTTTTAATGGTTCCCTACAGTACTCTCCCTTTCTAATATGGACAATTTTTCTGTATTTTTTCCAGCTTTGTTGAGGTATAATTGCCAAATAAAAATTGTATAAATGTAGCCTATACAACATGATTTGTAGGGTGTAAATATGATGATTTACTATACATATGCAACATGAAATGACTAGTACAATCAAGTTGACATTATCTCACATGGTTACCATTTTCTTTTTTATAGTAAGAACACTTAAGATCTATTCCCATTGCAAACTTGAAGAACAGAATACAATATTATTGACCATAATCACTATATTGTACAGTAGATCCTCAGACTTTACTCATCTTATAACTCTCGTTTGTACCCTTTACCAACATATCCTCATTTCCTACCCCAACCCCAGCCCTGGCAACCACCATTATACTCAGTGGTTCCAAGACTTCAACTTTATTCCACATATAAAGGAGATCATAAAGTATTTGGCTGTCTGTGTGTGGCTTATTTTACTTAGCGTAATGTCCCCAGCCTTACTTATGTTGTTGCAAATGGCAGGATTTTCCTCTTTTTATGGCTGAATAATATGCCATCATATACATATCACAATTTCTTTATTCACTCATCAGTTGACAGACACTTAGGTTGTTCTCACATTTTGGCTATTGTGAATAATGCTGCAGTAAACATAGGGGTGCAGAAATCTATTTGAGGTAGTGATTTCATTTTCTTAGGATATATACCTAGAAGTGGGGTTACTAGATCATACCATAGTTTTACTTTTAATTTTCTAAGGACCTTTTATACTGCTTTTCAGAATGTTGAACCACTTTACATTCCCACTAACAGTGCACAAGGGTTGCCTTCTCTCCACACCCCTGCCAACACCATTTCTTGACCCTTTGATAACAGCCTAACAGGAGTGGTGAGGTATTGTCTCTGTAATTTTGATTTGCACTGCCCTGATGATTAATCATGGTGAGCACTTTATAATATACCTGCTGGACTGAAATGAACATGTTTTAAATGGGCTCTTACCTCCCAAAAATGTATACAGTGCATTGGTTTTACTTTAAACTATACCTATAATTCTGGAACTCCAAAAGAAAGTCTTCCTCTTCCAGTCAGGGCTGTAAACATGTTGTAGTAGGACACTTTTTCAGGATCTCCTAGCTATATATACTGATCAGTGACCTGGTGCACAAAATTTGTGCACATTAAAAGGGAATTAATTAGAGGAAATATTTTAATATTGCTATTTGCCCTTTCTCTATAATAGAAGTGTCAGAGATGAAAGAAAATTAATAAAATGTACATGAAAATCTTCCTCCTGTCAGAGTCTGGGGCATGCCGCGGGACCCAGAGTCAAGGCCTCGCCCACCCGCGTGTACCTCAAAATTGCACAAGACCCAGACCTGGCCAGCCCCACCCTCATTGGGCTAGATCCAGACCCGGCTGGCCCCACCCCCATCAAGCCCCGCCCAGTGGGCGGGGGCGAGAACTAAGGTCAACTGGCCTGGCGTCGGGGTGGGGGGCATGGCCTGAGGTGCCCTGTCAAGCCCCACCAGGTTGGGAGCGCAGCTTCAGGTCCCTGCTGATTGCTCGTTAAGGCTCATTATGGGAACTTGGCCTCCGCTGTGGGTGCAGTCATCTTCTGTTACAGAATCCCTGCCTCTGCTGTGGGTGTATCCATCTTGACTTTTACAGCGTGATAGTCAATTTGCATATTCCCTCTTTACTAGATAAGATTAATCCTTTGATTTTGGAGTATGACATCTGGAAAACCAGATGACCTCCGGACATGTGGTTATCAGGCATTTGGTGTCTTCAAATAAAGTAACAATCCAATCCCACATGAGGAATTGGAAGGAATTTAGCTGGAGATGTCTTCCTCATGGTAAGTGACCATGTTTGTAATTATTTGAAAGTAATGTTATGTATGTTGTAGAGATGATGAAACCACTGCATCACTGAAAACATTACTTCCTATCAGTAGCACCAGATATTTATTAAGAGCTTTCCATTGACAAGTGGCACTGTGCTAAGTATTTCACATGCATTAATTCATGTAATCCATAGATACGTATTTCTTATACTTTTTGGTGAAAAAATCTGTTGGCTTTTAAAAGTATTCAGTCTAACACATAGATTTGGCGCTTAATATGTGTGCCAGGCACTGTGCTGTATGCTGTGGTAAAATGGGGCCTGTTTTATGTTAATAAAATGATACTTGCCTTAAATTTCTCATTATTTCTTTTGAGCAAATTGTGATTTATGAAAAAAAAATCAGAACTCATTAAAACATAAAAATTATTAAACCATTTTGTTTTAAAATGTGAGGAGAGCCCTAGCTGGTTTGGCTCAGCGGATAGAGCGTCGGCCTGCGGACTGAAGGGTCCCAGGTTCGATTCCGGTCAAGGGCATGTACCTGGGTTGCAGGCACATCCCCAGTAGGGGGCGTGCAAGAGGCAGCTGAATCGATGTTTCTCTCTCATCGATGTTTCTAACTCTCTATCCTTCTCCCTCTCCCTTCCCCTCTGTAAAAAAATCAATAAAATATATTTAAAAAATAAATAAAAATAAATAAATAAATAAAATGTGAGGAGAAATGGAAAAATAAAACTTGCCAATTTGAGAACAGGATTTGTATGATTTATATTTACTTGAGTTTGAATATATTAACTAAAAATTAACAAAGTAAATTTTAAGTGGTCTAATGCTCTAAAAGGGAAATATTCCTTGAGATAGGATTTTTAGTTGATGGAATGAAACATTTTTTATAATAATAAATTAAATAATCCAGCTACTAATTAGGAGATGAAAAGTCACTATTCATAGTTTGAAAAAATATTCTGTACATATAATATTCATATTCTGCTGCCTAAAATCACTCTCCAGAATGCAGAAGCACACATTTCATGGCATTCCATGGCACATACATACCATGGTGTCAAGCCGACCAACAACTTCAAATGAAAAATCCACACCTCCACCGCTCATTTCTTTCAGCACCTCGTGGATGGGTTTCTTGAAGTCCTGTGGGCTGATGCACTCGGTGGCGCCCACTTGCTTTGCCTTCGCATATTTGTCTTTGTTGATGTCCACCCCAATGATCCTGGCTGCTCCAGCCGCTTTACAGCCCATGACAACCGACAGGCCGACTCCTCCAAGGCCAAACACTGCACAGGTGGAGCCTGGGGTCACCTATGTTTCAGAAAATGCAAAAATGGATTAAGTAATGATTGTTGTATAAAGTGTCCTGTCTTATCCATTATCAGGACTATTCAGACTCTTATGTCCAACCTGCTGTCAAAACCTGTTTTGGCTTCAGTTGCTTCGTATTTAAATTGAGGAGTTTCAATCTGTGGTTCTCAAACTTTGCCAGACATTAGACCCCCCTGGGGATCTTTAAAACCTCTCAATGGCCAGGCCACAGCCCATAGCCAATTACATCAGAACCTGTGCAGGTGGGGCCTGGTTCCCAGGTGATTCCAATGGAAAGAAAGCCCAGGCTGGGAACCCACTGTTGGATGATCTCTGAGCTCTAAATGCCAATGACTCCCATCTTGAAGAGAATCTCTAGGGGCTGAAATCCATTGACAGGCTTCGGTAAATTGTACATACACAGAAGCAATTTTGGGGAAATGAAATAAGTGGGAAAGGTTAATCCATGAGACCAAAAATAATCGAATCAAATGTTCAATGTTTAACTCCTTGTTTCATTAGCTTTAGAAGTCATGACCAGTACAATGAGAACAGAAATTAGCTGAAGAGTTATTCTCAGCTTCAAGTCAAACATAACAACAGGGGAAATGGAACCGGAAACTTTAAACAGCTTGAGACCAATGTGATCTTAGTGGGTCTTTATCTTTGCTTTTTAAAATACACTAATGAGCAATAATGCAATAAAAGTTGGCCTACATTTTAATAATGGATGACATTCCTTTTCATGAGTGCCCTTGCCTCTGCTCTGTGTGCAGGCTCAGTTAGACCACCTGCTCAAACAGACGAGGCAATTGCACAAGGGACTTAGTGCTAGAGTCACTGAATTTGAAAAACATGTGCTCTCAGTTGTTGAAATTGGCTAGGGACTGTTTAATACACCTAGTCAGCTATAGGAGTCAGCCTTCAGTGTGGGTAAAATATTCCTTCTGTCCCAAGTAATCAAGCATTCTCTGGAGTACAACATCACTTTTTACTTTACTTAAAAAAAAAAAATGTGAGGCTTGTGACTGTGGTTTTAAAATTCAGGTAACTATGTATTACTAGAGGCCCAGTGCACGAAATTTGTGCACTGAGGGTTGGGGGTCCCTCAGCCCAGCCTGGCCCCTCTCACAGTCCAGGAGCCCTCAGTGGCCTAAAGCCACCATCTGGCAGCGGAGGCTCAGAGCAGGTGCCGTGTGTGTGTGTGTGTGTGTGTGTGTGTGTATGTTCACTGGTGGCCTGCCCCAGCCGCGTCGGAGGCTTGGAGCAGGCAGCCTGTGTGTGTTGATCTCTCAGGCTCCTGGCTGTGCCTGCGTGTTTTTCTCTCCCTTCCTCCATTGCTGGGGGCAACCTAAGCCTCCAGCTCCATGGCCGCTTGGCTTCTCTGCTGCAGCTGCAGCGAGGTTTTGTTTCTCCTCTGGGCCTTAGCGGAGAAGCCAAGCCTCTTCAGTCTTCAGTCTTCACTCTTTACTAGGCCGGAGCCTTCAGTCTTCGCTCCGTGCTGGTGTATGCAAATTAACCGCCATCTTTGTTGGGTTAATTTGCATACTCATCTGATTGGCTGGCAGGCGTAGTGAAGTGACACCAATTTGCATGTTTCTCTTTTTTACTGTAGATTAGTGGCCTGGTGCACAAATTTGTGCACATTGAAAGGAAATTACAAGAAATATTTTAATATTGCTATTCTCCCTTTCTCTATAATATAAGTGTCAACTAAATTCACAATCAACAATGACAGATGGAGCACATGCATGCAATTGGTTCTAGGAGAGCTTTATATGGATTGCATGTGCATGAGTTAATTTAGCCTTTTATAGATATAGAATAAACTTGCTTAATTAGACCTGCTTTCTGATTTAGCTAAACTTTTTCCAGCCCAGTGAAGCATCCCAACTTCTTTTTCAGGTAATTGTCAGCAACACAGCAGTAAATATCAACACAAAGCAGATTATTATTGTAGATCACACAGGGAGAACAATGGGTAAAATATTTAACTGTAGCAGTGTTTGACTATATTCTGCATAGTGAGAAAACCTAAGTCATTTTCAAGGTCTACCATTTCTTACTTCTTTTTAGTCGGGTCAAGTTTCTAAGCTTTCTAAATCTCCATTTTCTGGGTAATGAAAAGAAAATAGGATTCCACTGGGTTTCCTATCTACCTACTCCAGGACTTCTGTGAGGATCAAATGAGATGAGGCACAGGAAAAAGCTTCACAAACATTTGGTGACAGTGTAAAATTTTTCCACCCGGCTATAAAGCAAGCCATGTTCCTGGGCTGAAGAAACTCCAAGGAGGATAGTAGCTAGGGAGAGGAAGCCAGGCATTGCTATTTGATGTCATTACCCAGATGGATACTTAGGATATTAGCCTTTTATATATATGGATGGTTTAATATTCAGCAAGAGTTTTTTAAAAGACATGCTATGTGAGTCACAGCCATAAGATTTAGGGCAAGTAGCATTTTGGATCTGGGCCTACTAGATTTCTAACCGTTTGTGAAGAGAGACTCTTAAAGAATTTCTCCTTCAAAGCTACCACCTCTATGGTGTGTGTGTGTGTGTGTGTGTGTGTGTGTGTGTGTGTGTGTGTTTGTCCATGGCAGGGGAGGAGATGAAGCAGTGAGATCCCCTAATGAGTGGAAAAAATGCATAATACATCATCTCAGCTTTCTTTGCTTTCCTCATAGGGTTCCACAGAGCAGGTAAGTTGGTGATGCTTGGTCTGGAGGCGTTACAGGTAAGGCTTTGGAATCTACTGCTGGTCCTAATTCTGGGAATAGCGGGTCATGGACTAGATCAGCCATGGGCAAACTACGGCCCAAGGGCCGGATCCGGCCCGTTTGAAATGAATAAAACTAAAAAAAAAAAAAAAAAAGACCGTACCCTTTTATGTAATGATGTTTACTTTGAATTTATATTAGTTCACACAAACACTCCATCCATGCTTTTGTTCCGGCCCTCCGGTCCAGTTTAAGAATCCATTGTGGCCCTCGAGTCAAAAAGTTTGCCCACCCCTAGACGAGATGCTCCTCAAAGGCAACTCTTTCATTTCATTTACTTTTGCTGCCTCAGGACCCAGCAGAACTTCCTGTGCCTGGTGCATGTGTGTGCTGACTCACAGTAGAACGAATGACTAAATGAGGCCTCAGCTCTGAAATTTAATAATCCCATAGAGAATACAGAAAAATAATGATTGAAAATGGCACCTTTACCTTTTCTTCATTAGTTATCAACAGCGTTTTCATTTGTTATAAACAGATTCAATTTCTAGGATATGCTCTTAATTTTTTCTGAGGGCACTTTTCTTTTTGTTTTTGTTTTTCTCATCTGAGGGCATTTTTCTACTCATAATTGACACTCTAAATTCTGTGGAGTATATCAATGTTGTGGTAGTGGGAAGGCGGGAAAGCTGACAGTAAATTTATGAAGAATTGCCTGGATTATTATGAGAAATCACTTTCCTTTTTGTTTCTGACAACCCGAGTGCAACTGCTTTGTCATCCGTTGTCATTCTTACCTTGGCAACTTCGATGGCAGACCCATAGCCAGTTGTGAATCCACAGCCAATCAGACAGACTTTCTCTAGAGGTGCGGCTGCATCGATTTTGACCACTGAGATCTCGTCCACCACTGTGTACTGGGAGAAGGTGCTGGTGCTAAGGAAGTGGTTGATGGGCTTCCCTTTGCAGGTGAACCTGGTGGTACCATCCTGCATGGTCCCGCGAGGCATGCTCAGACTGGCCAGTGCAACACACAGACACACAAGGGCATGAGACACATGCATAACTGTGCAAATTCATTGGCTTGTCAGGAGAGTAACGGAAACTTACTCATTTTTTGCACAGAAGTTGCTTCCTGGATGTTTACAAACATTGCATTTTCCACACTGGGGAGTAAAGAGTGGGATGACTTTATCACCTGGAGGGGGGAATAAGCAAATTCTTATTAAATTTCTACCCAGGAATTAATAGAGCAAGCACTCAAAGCTTATGGCTATGTATTAGAGGCAGTTGCCTTTCAATAGTCTCTCAGAAACAGGATCTAGTCACCATGATGCCATTAGACATTGCTGGCAGCATGGTTATTGGTTTGGGTTTGTATGTGCCTGAAGATTGCCAAAGAGGACATGTGACTGTGGGAACAACTGTGGATTTTAAAGTATTTCCACTGCCTTAATAGTTATCTTTTTCTCCATGCCCTTTCTCTAGGTAGTTTTATACACATTTCATTTAACCCTTAAGAATTAAGTCTTAAATGTTCTTAGTGTAAGTACATCTATAAATTTTATTAATGAGAGGCTGCCATAGTTTCACTAGATGTTGGGGAAAGCCAGTATTTTCTAATAGTTTCAGTTACAGTAAAAAATGAGAATTTTGACTACCATTCCTGGCTTTTCAAAGTGACTGTTTATTTTTACTATAAAATGACTTTCTATTTTTTAATTTTTAGGGGTTTTTTTCCCCCAAAGAAAACGTAACAAAAATGTGAGAAAAAAGAATTAAAGAAATTCCTTTAAAAATCTCAACCTTCAACGAGTTAGGCACTTTCTTTTAGGATGAGAATTCATTTTTAAATGTTTTTAGCTGATAACTTAATTTGTGAATTATTTATTTTGCCTGCTATGTTGGAGGGAATCAGAGTGAAAAGTAAAAGTGTTATTTATTGTTAATTTATTTCTAAGTAAAGGAAATACTAAGAGCTGAAACTCAAACCAGACCATATATTTTAATATTTTCTGTCAACAAGTTAAATAAGTATTTGGTAATGGGGCAGGTCAAATCTACTGGCTAACATGATTTTTGTTTTCTCCTACATATCCAAAAAACCCACAAAAATGGTTAGACCATAATATTTAATAGATAAACTTTATATGGAGATAATAGCATGAACATTTTATAGTTATTCACTCTTTACCTCTAAGAATATTTATCTATATTAATGCACAATAAAATTAAGACAAAATAAATGTTAAGGATAAACTAGTACCCTGTAACCAGTCACAGTTAGCCATGGTTTAATGTAGTAAAACAGATACTGTTTATTGCAGGGGCCTTCTGCCAGGTCTCTCCTTGCCTTCTAACTAGTCTGTTTCATTCATTCTGTGCTCAAGAAGGGAGGCCATAGTGGAAGGGAAACCCAGTGAATGGGTTCCACTTCCCACCTAGAGGAGATCATGTTGATTCAGTCAGAGCCCCAGGCTCCCCACCCTGGGAAGTCAGCACTGAACAGTTCCCATGCACTGACCTATAGGCTCAGGACACAGACTTAGATGTTTTTCCTGTGTCCCATTTGTAGTTCTTCTTGGACCTGAGAGAAAACAGTGCTTAGCAACACTGAAATGGAAGTTATTTGATTATGACCTCAGGGAGTGGGTCCCTTTTGATCCTCATGTATCCCAGGATCTAACCTGGTGCCTGACAGATAGCAGGCGCTCAACAAATTCCTGCTGAAGGAGAGAACACAGGAGTGCATGAAAGCATACATGTCTGAGGCAGGAAGAGGGCAGGAAAGAAGGAGACCTCTGTTCAAGCCCTAGCTGTGCTGCTGCCCTCAGCTGGGTGATCTTCGGGTCCTGAACAGTACCTTCTTCAAGTAGGAGTTCTATACCTGGCTTTACTGCAGTCACCCCTTCTCCAATGCTCTCCACAATGCCGGCTGCCTCATGGCCTGCGATCACAGGAAGAGGTGTGACGAAGTTTCCACTAGTCACATGGTCATCTGACCGACAGACCCCTGAGGCCACCATCTACAGGGTAAAGGGAAGATAATTAGATTCAGCAGAACTGTGGCCCTCAGATGGACTTCACATGCCCAGCTTTCTAAAGTTGGACTTTTGAAGAGTTTTCAAGGATTTTGCTAATAATCTCTATTTTCCCCAAATACACAAGATCCCGTTTCTCTTCAAGATTACTCAATTTATGCATGCATACATGTCCTTTGGGGGTGGGCAGGGAGAGGTCAAGGTGGGTGGGTGAGGAAGAGGCTTATGTAAGACTTTAAACAATAAAGAATTTAAATTAAAAAAATAAATAAAAATAAAAGTTTATGAATGGGGAAAAAAAAGATTACTCAGTTTAAAACCCTCCACTTCTTTCCTTCCCTGCCTTAAGCAATTCAGAATAATCTGTGAAATAAGTTTCTCAAATATTTGTCTTATATAATAGACAAGAATGCATCCTTTTTCCTAGGAGTAGAAACTATAGATTAGCAACCAAGAAAATTAAGTCAATTAAGCTCCACCATTTAATGCAAATTGATTTTGAAATCTTGCACTTTTTTTCTGTATAAACACATCAATACTTTTTAATTTCATTAGTGTGAAAGAATTTCAATCTACAATAGAACCGGAGGATATAAAAAGGAAAATCTAATGTATGTGTCATCAGGAAGGACACATAAGGACTGAGAAATCGTTTCCCTGTAAATGCCTGATTAACAGAACACTGATAATATTGGAATTTTCCTAAATGAAAATTGGTCAGGAGTTGCCTCATAACAACCTTGAGAAATTTTGAACCAAAATAACTCTGGTGGGATTCATCTCACATTTTAAGCTGAATTGAGCTTTGTTTGTATGACTGGATTTGCTTTTGTTTCAATGATGAAAAATTGTTTAATGAAATAAAAACAAAAGAATACATGGCTGCTATATTATTATCAGATTATGGAGAATTCAAGACCCAAACTAGTTAAATGAGACAAAAAGAGTATTATATAATAATAAAAGATACTCTCATAAAAAATATATACATTTTAACAGACTATAACTGAACTCTTCCCTCTTTAAATTTCCTGCCTGTAAGTATAGCCTACCTCAAACCCTCAAAGGACTGCCCTATAGCTTTCTACAATTTGCATGTTCCAAATTACAACTACTGTTATTTGTTTTTGCTTTGTTTTGTTTTTAAATTCTTTATTGTTGAAAGTATTACAATGTCTCCTTCCCCCCCCCCCATTGACCTCTCCCTGGCCACTCCTGTCCCCTAGCACATGCCCTCTCCCCTCTACTGTCTGTGTCCATTGATTATGCTTAAATGCATGCAACAAGTCTTACGTTGATCTCTTAACACCCCCCTCCCCTTCCTACCCTCTGAGGTATGACAATCAGTTTGTCTCTGGTTCTATTTTTGTTCATCAGTTTATGTTGTTCATTGTATTCCACAAATGGCATTGTGTAGATGTACCACTGGTCTTAATCCACTCATCTGCTGATGGGCACTTAGGCTGTTTCCAAATCTTAGCTATGGTAAATTGTGCTGCTATGAACATAGGGGTGCATATATCCTTTCTGATTGGTGTTTCTAGCTTCTAGGGATATACTCCTAGAAGTGGGATCACTGGGTCAAATGGAAGTTCCATTTTTAATTTTTTGAGGGAACTCCATACTGTTTTCCACAGTGGCTGCACCAGTCTGCATTCCCACCAGCAGTGCACGAGGGTTCCTTTTTCTCCACATCCTGGCCAGCACTTTTCACTTTTTGACTTGATGATGATAGCCATTCTAACAGGTGTGAGATGGTACCTCATTGTTGTTTTGATTTGCGTCTCTCAGATTATTAGTGACTTTGAGCATGTTTTCGTATGTCTCTTGGCCTTTTGCATGTCCACTTTCAAAAAGTGTCTATTTAGGTCCTTTGCCCATTTTTTCATTAGATTTTTGGCTTCCTTTTGTTAAGTTGTGTAAGTTCCCTATACATTTTGGTGATTAAGTCCTTATCAGATATAATGTTGGGAAATATGTTCTCCCATGCAGTGGGCTTTCTTGTTGTTTTGTTGATGGCTTCTTTTGCTGTGCAGAAAGTTTTTAATTTGATGTAGTCCCTCTTATTTTCTCCTTTGTTTCCATTGTCCTCGGAGCTATATCGGTAAACAGATTGCTATGATATATGTCTGATATTTTGCTGCCTATGGATTCTTCTAAGATTTTTATGGTTTCCCATCTTATGTTTAGGTCCTTTATCCATTTTGAGTTTGTTTTTGTGTATGGTGTAACTTGGTGGTCTAGTTTCATCTTTTTGCATGTATCTGTCCAATTACCTATTACCACTTTAGTTAAGTTTATTCCTAGGTATCTTAGTTTTTTTGGTGCAATGGTAAATGGGATTGTTTTTTAGTTTCTCTTTCTTGAGTTCATTATTGGTGTCTAAAAGAGCCATAGATATCTGGGTGTAAATTTTGTATCCTGCTATGTTGCCAAAATCCTTTATTAAATTTAGGGTTTTTTTTAATGGAGTCTTTAAGGTTTTTCTATGTATAATATCACGTCATCTGCAAAAAGTGACTATTTTACTTCATCTTCTCCAGTTACGGACAGCTTCACAGGGGAGTTTTACGAAAATTTGAAGAAGGACTTATACCAATCTTCCTCAGACTATTTTAAAAAATTCAAGAGGAAAGAACACTTCCAAGCTCTTTCTATGAAGCCAGCATTACCCTAGTCCCCAAACCAGATCAGATGCTGTAAACAAAGACAATGATAGGCCAATATTCCTGATGAATATAGATGCTAAAATCCTCAACAAAATATTAGCAAATCGAATCCAGCAATACATTAAAAAGATCATACGCCATGACCAAGTGGTATTTATTCCAAGGATGCTGGTACAGTATCCGCAAATCAATAAATATGATACATCACATAAACAAATTGAAAGGTAAAAACCACATGATTATATCAATTGATGCAGAAAAAGCACTTGACAAAGTCCAACACCCCTTTTTGATATAAAACTCTTAGCAAAGTGGGGATAAAGGAATCATATCTCAACATAATGAAAACCTTATATGACAAACTTACAGCAACATCATACTCAGTGGGCAAATACTAAGTAAGACCATTTCCCCTAAGAATAGGAAACAAGACAGGGATGCCCATTTTCACCATTCCTATTCAACACTGAAGGTGCTAACCAAGAAGGAGAAATAAAAGGTATTCAAGTTATTCTTGAATAAATTCATCTTTTTCATCATTTTGAGCTTGACTCAGTTTACCTCTTTATTGAGGTTGGCATTAGGATTATACTGTACATACTATCTATTCTATTTTTGAAAGTTTAACAACTTGTATTTTTATATTTCCTTGGCAAGAAATGTAATTCCACTGTTTGGATTACTAGGGCACTTACCTAGGTTTCTGATTCGATCCTGGTTGGGGCACGTACGGAAGGCAAGGCAATGGATTGATGCGATGTTTCTCTCTCAGCTCTCTCTCTCTCTCTCTCTCTCTCTCTCTCCCTCTCTCTCTCTCTCTCTCTCTCTCTCTCTCTCTCTCCCATTTTCTCTCTCTCTCAAATCAATAAACAAACATATCCTTGCATGAGGATTTTTTTAAAGTGCTTCTTTTAAAATATTTATATTTGTATTGATTTCAGAGAGGAAGGGAGAGGGCTAGAGATAGAAACATCAATGATGAGAGAGAATCATTGGTTGGCTGCCTCCTGCATGCCCACACTAGGGATCAAGCCCACAACCTGGGGTTATGCTCTGACTGGGAATCAACCATGACCTTCTGGTTCATAGGTCAACGCTCAACCACTGAGCCACACTGGCTGGGCTAAAAAGTGCTTCTTAATAAACTTTTTGTTATTTCCATTTGTATTATTCTCTGAATTTTCTTATACTTAAAATTCAATAGAAGACAAAAAAGTGTTTCACCTTTATACGGACTTCATGAGCCTTAGGGGGTGCTACCTCCACCTCCTCAAGGGAAAAGGGTTTCTTTATCTCCCATAGCACAGCTGCTTTGCATTTTATTACCTGGAAATTGAACAGAAAGATGACACAAGTGCTTACCCACTCTTGAAGTCAGGGACTGTGAATGTCATCTTTTTATGTGCAACATCTAGCCCCCTGTCTGAAATCTGATAAATGTTATATAGAAAAGGACAACTTCTGATTTGCAAAGAGAATGGAAATACCTTTTTAAAATGTGTAAAGTAATAACATAAGGAAACCATAATGAGGCATTGAGATAAAATGGAATATGTTCTTTTAAGTCATCCTTATGTTGTTTCTTTTTCCAAGGGTTGTTTATTTGTGATATTTCCTAATGCAGTCCTGAAATTGGTTGTTTGCCCACAACTGTTGGCTTGCAATGAAGTTTTAAATCACAAATATTTCACTGATAGGATCACTGTCTGGTCACATAAAATTTATTGCTCTCTTGCTCAAGTCTCTGCTTAAGCCCCAAACAACCAGACTTTATGATTCCAGTGCATACTTGCCTCCCTGCATAGGTGACTTCTCTTTCTCCTTGCCTGTCCTCCTCCTCCGATTTCTCTCCCCCTCTACTTCCGTGTGCTAGTAGTTTGCATGACTCATTTGAAAGTGAGCTTTGGCAGCTCTATTTTCTTCTCTAATTTATGTGTAGCTATTTTTTTTTCCAGATTAGATGTGAGCCAAAAACCACAGATGTTACAGCTGTACACACACACACACACACACACACACACACACACATACACACACGCACACACTCTTACCCACATACTCACATATATATTTAAAAATGGAATAACTGCGTGTTTGACTTTTTAATCTAGCATAGTTTATCCATAGATGTTCTTCAAAATTAAAGTTGAACACATATTTTTAGTACTAGAGAATGTAACATACTGGTAAAATCTGTCTTCATTGCTACAAAGTTTATACATTTGAGAGATTTTTTCTAGATAGATAATTCTATAGTAATTATAATTATGAATGTATAATTCATAATTACAAATATGATTTTAAAAGGTCAAATGAAATGTATGCTTTTGCAAATTAATTTTCATTATTTATATGTCAAATTCTCCTACTCTGCTGAGGTGCTTGCCATGGTCAATAAATATGAGAGTACTTAGAAATAATACACTAATAGTACATAGGTCCTGATTACCATTTAATGGGCAGGCACATTGTGGCCAATGCTGAATGAATTACATACTTGATCTCTAAAGCCCACAGGGCAGTAATATTAAGCTATTGGTCTATTTTACGATGGCAAATTTGAGGCTCATTTGACTTAGCAACTGACTAATTTTTGCAAAGTCAGAAAGTCTGCTGCCCAGAAAATTAAGACAATCCAACTTTATCTTTTCACCATCCCATGGTAATAAGCAATTAATCAAATCTTATATAACAACAACATCAGTAGTAGTGACTAACATGTATTGAATAACTTCTATGTACCAGACACTATCCTAAGTGCTAAGGAATATTAACTTATTACATTCTCACAACTATCTTATAAAGTAGGGATTATTATGATTGCCGTTTTGCATGTGAGGAAAATATAATGCAGGAAGAATAAACAGGTGAAGTGCTACCACAATGCTGAAATCTATGGATGTTGCCCCAGAGGGGCAGGAACTGATTGCTTAGCATTTACTGTTCTCATGAATAGATTTGGTTTACTTATTTCTTTCAAACTGAGTTTTGACAAATTTATTTTTAATTTTTCCTAACTTTTATTCATTTGGAATGTAATTCACCATTGTAAATGCTAATCAGTAATAAATGAAAATAAAGAGAGATGAAATGAAAAAACTGACAATTGGCCCTCTTGAGTTTCAAAAAAATCATAGGCCTGTTATATAACACAGGGTGTGTAGAAATCTCAGAAACTTTCAATTGTGTTATAGCAAAATATTAGAGTGTGTGTTCCACTCCTAACACAACAAAAGTACTGGGCACTTTTTGGGACTGAGCAGTTAAACAATGTGAATTGATTATATTGTATGATCACATGCATTTCTCTGCACTTATAAGCACACTGAAGAAGTAAAAAGATCTATGGAAGGCCAAGAACCAAATATCCCTGTTCCTACTAGTAATAAGTGATTCAAACTATATCAGTATTAATTTTTGATAAAATCATGTTGACTTTTGTATGGAGAAGATATTTTTCTTTAAGATTTCTGTGGAAATTTCCTGCATTGAGCCATCATAGGACCCTTTAAAATTAGAATTTGCATGTTGATGTTGGCTTGCTTATCCTTGATGATTCTAATGCTTTGAGATCAATAAAACTTGTCAGAATTAACTTTCCTCCTGTGTTCATAAAAATAAAAACATGATTACAAAACAATAACGTTTAAGTCATGGCTTCTCAATACAATGGTAAACTATTGATTAAAACTATTTCTAACTTCAGATTTTCAAATTATTCATGATTGGCTGTAACTACTGCCCATTTATCTAATATAGTAAATAAAGACTTTAATAGGTACAAAAGTTACATATTCTTTTAACGATATTTAGCAACAGCCTATTTAAATTCTGATTCAATATACATTGCATAACAAAGCATATATTCTATGTTATATTTCAGTTTATATGGTTTTTAATTTAGATATAAATTTTAAATTATTCATTAAATATTGTTTCTCTTTGTGAACTATATAATGAGAATATATTTTCAAAAGTAAAAAAAATGCTTACTTTTCCTGCTGTGCTCATGTTTCTGTTCTTTCTGCAGGCCAGGAGGCGGATGGATTCTTGCAGACCCTTTCCTGCTCGATTACATGAAATAGATATGTTGCACAGATATTTTATTTGCTTGAGTAATGCTCAGTTCTACACATGTGATCTGGTGTCTTTAGCCTGACCCACAAGTTTATTCTCAAACTATATCAAATCAGAGAGAAATGGGCACTAATCCACAACTCAGACCTGGACTTTGTAATTTGCCAATTATGGATAACAGCTTGATTTATCTAGTTAAATATTTCTCTACACATAAATTTTAATCTCTTTTTCTCTGGATTCCACGTTTATTCTCTCTTCTTCTCATTTCCCGTTTGTGTGCACTAAGCTGCAACTTCTAATCCTCATGCTGCCGTTAGAGCATGAGAAAGAAAAGAAAGAAGGAGCAGTAAGGAAGCAGCACAAATGACATAGGACAGAGAGAAGTACAAGCTAGAGGAATGTGTTTGCCCCAGCACCCCCCTCCTCTTCATAGCAGAGAGGTCAGACACCAGTCATTTACAGAAAGGGTGCTCATGACCCTGGCATTCCTGCTCTACTCAATACCTAGCAGCACTGACTGAGCACCTCCCTGTTCCAGGCATTCAGTTGGGTGCACTGGGGTGGCAAGGAGGGATAGAGATGGCCTCTACCTCTGCCTAGAGGCAGTACGGGGTCATGCTTATGACATGGCCTTGGATTCCAGGCAGACCCTATCTTTACCAGCTGCGTGAATTTGCCCTTATTTGTAAAATAATAGAATAATAGTACCATCTCAAAGCATTGTTTGTTAAACAAATGAGACAAGCCCTCTAAAACACTTACCAGGAAACCTGGCAGATAGGACAATCTTCAATAAATATTAGCTACAATGATTACCCATAAAAGAAACTCACAATCTATGGCAAAAAAAGACACAGGCAAACAAGTCAGATCATCGGGATGGCATCTGACTGAAGGTCTCAAAGGAGGCTTTGTAGAGAGAACATTTAAGTTAAAAACTAAATATTGATCTCTATTGCACAGTCAAAATAATATTGGATATAAACTGTAATTGGAAAAAAAAAAAAAGAAAAACACAAGAACCTCTAACTAAGATTACTCTACCCAGGAAAGCTATCCTTTAGAATCAAAGGAGAGATGAAATGTTGCACAGGCAAGAAAAGGCAGAAAGAGTTCACTACTATCAAACCAATATTACCAAAAATATTTAGGAGATCTCTTTAAGAAGAAAAACAAATTTTTTTAATAACTAAGAAAAGATAGGAAAGAAAAAATTTCTCACTGACAAAGGCAAACATATAATAAAAGCGATAGGTCAACTAACACAAAAGCTAGTACAAAGGTTAAAATGAAAGAACATATAACAATCCTAAGCATGTATGTGCCTATAAAGAGACCATTAAACTGCTGAGCCAAAATCTGATAGAACTACAAGGAGAAAATCAATGAACGCATTATTATACCTGGAGGTGTCAGCAGAAAAAGACAATTCCAGCAGGCAGAAGATCAGTGAAGACTGATCTAAACTGATCTAAATTGTTGAACTAAACAATACTATCAATTAACTATACATAAGACATTTATGGACTACGTCATTAATAGCAGCAGAACACATTCTTTTCAAGCTGACATGGAACTTTCACCAAGGCGGATCACATTCTGGGCCACAAAACACAATTTAACAAGAATGCCAAATGAAACAGGGAAAGCAACATGGCATCATGCTTCATGGTATGCATATATGTCTTGATCATTTTTTAAAAATATATTTTATTGATTTTTTAGAGAGAGAAAGGGAGAGGGATAGAGTTAGAAACATCGATGAGAGAGAAACATCGATCAGCTGCCTCCTGCACACCCCCTACTGGGAATGTGCCCACAACCAAGGTACATGCCCTTGACCAGAATAGAACCTGGGACCCTTGAGTCCGCAGGCCGAAGCTCTATCCACTGAGCCAAACAGTTAGGGCTGTCTTGATCATTTTTACATCTAGCTACAATGAAGACTTAGATTACATAATGGGTAGTTAGTATAAAAGTCTTATGTTATGCCACAGGACTAAAAATAAAGTTCATTCTTCCGAAATAGTGAAAATAAGATATCCTTCATATTTTTGTCACATATGTTTTCTCATTCAATCATGCCTCCTCTCCCCCTCCCCCCATTGTAAATGAAATAATGTCCAACATTTTATTAAACAATCATGAGAGTGTGGGCAATTCTTGGGCCACTGAGGCCTAGAAAAGATGATGAGACCAGTATCTTGTCATTAATTGCAGAAATACGCTCCTGATACGTTCAATACATGGTAAAAAATATTTGTAAAAGACAAATATAAATATCTTCTCAGTTATTGGAAAATCCGAAGTCCAGCTGTACCTTCTTCCAGAGATGGTCTTGGATATGCGTAAAGCCTGTCTCTTGAATAGGTACAACCACTAACAGATATCTCGATATCAAGAGTATTCCCCACCAGACTGAACCAACTGCTGTGCTATGCTTGGCCAGGAAGACATGGAAGGGTTTGGGGGTTCTTCTCAAGGGAGGCACCCAATCCAGGCTCCAGCCTGGGCTGGCCAAGCCGCTCCGCACCCTTCCTGGGAGGCAGTGACCTGTCCTGGATGGAGGGAAAAGAGTGGAGCTTCGCCCCTTGCCCCTCATCCCGAATGGGCGCTGCGCTTCTCCGGCTGCACTAAAGGGCTCCCGCGCTCTCTGGGATGCGGGCAGCAGGCACTTACTAATGACCGCCATCTGGGTGCAGGGGAACATCTTTCCAAGGTGCGTCCCGGCCTAGGCGGCTGCAGTTGCCCCGCCGCGCTGCCTAATGTTGCCTTGAACTGAACGAAAGGTGGGGAAACTCAGGATCCAGGGGAGAGCGGGTCCCCAACCCAGTCGCCGGGCGGTTGGGCGGTTGGGCGGTTAGGTCTGGTGGCAGTTGTTGGCGGCCAACGGCCCTCTCCACCCGCCCCCGCGGCCCCCAGCCCAGTGCAGCCCCCAGCCCAGTTCTGCCCGCGCGGCCCCCAGCCCAGTGCAGCCCCCAGCCCAGTTCTGCCCGCGCGGTCAGGTCCTGGGCGCTCAGAGGAGCGGGGAGCAGCCTTCGGCTGCCTCGTGTCCGTGGTGCCGCCGCTTCCAGGGCGGCCGTGCAAGCACCGACGTGGGCAACACCACCTCCCCGGAGCTGGGCTGCTGCAGCCGCATGGACCCCTTGTAGGCTGACAGGTACTTGAGCTCCCGGTAGCTGGGCAGCTGCAGGAAGGCAGGCGAGACGAAGGCAGCTCGTGCTCGGAGGCGCAGGAGGGGACCGAGAACCCGCCGCCCTCCCGCCCCGACCCCGCTGCCGCTGCCGCTGTCCAGCAGCGAGTCCAGATGATGCGCCGCAGCAAGTGGCTCATGGGGAAGAGTATGCGCAGGGTGAGCAGCCCGGGAGCTTGCGCGAAACCAGCCCACATCGCGGAGAAGGTATGCCGCGCGCCGCCCCCGCCGCCCCCGCCGCCCCCGCCACGCGCCACCAGCAGCAGCAGTGGTGGGGGGGGTAGTGGCGGCGCCCGGGCCGGCGACAGGCCCTGGGCCGTGACTCCAGGTCCCCACAAGGACGGCGCAGACCGTCGCTAATGTCCGGGACGGGGGTTTTGGGAATCCGTCTGTCCGGGTATCCGTCGGCCTCTCCGGGGCGCTCGGATGGGACGCCGCGCGCTGCGCCCCGCGCCTCCGCTACCGGAACCGGAGCACCCTCACTTGGCCACGCGTGGGCGGAAGGAGGGGGCCGAGGCGCGCCGGGGCTGCGGGAGGCGGCTGCTCCTCACAGCCAGAGCAGCTTCCTGAGCTTCTGACCCGAAATCCGCGCCCACTCTCTGGGGCCGCCCAAGATGGCAGAGGCAGCCTGCGGGGGGGGGGGGGGGGGGGGGGGGGGGGGGGTTTGAGCGCCTGCCGCGGGCATGCTGGCCCTGGCCCCTGCGCCCTCCTGTCCTCCTTGTCGCCCTCGCCCTCGGGGGCTGGAAGGGTTAACGCTCTGCGCTCAACCCGGGAGCCCCCAGATGTGTCTCACTCATGTCACACTGCAGCTCTCTTCCAGTTGATCGCCTTGTTTGGCCCCAATCTATCCTACCTACTACTGTTAAATTAATTTTCAAGATCACCACATTTGCCAAACCTTCCATAGTTCTTTTCTTTCCGAAAGGAGCCAACGCCTATCGCTAAGATGACCACAGTCTGTCATCTTTCTGCCTGTTCAATCATGTCTCCCAGCTCTCAATCAACAACTCACTCCCGGTTCCACCGAGAGGGGTGCGAACACCTCTGTCTGTGGCCCTGAGCTGATATTTTCTCCCTGACTAAAATGCTCCTTCCATTTCCCCTTCTGTCCTATACTCTCTGCCTGGGCAATATTGTCTATGCCCAGGGACTCAACTAACACCTAGAAGTCAAGCAGATTAATTCCATATTAGCTATCATCTCCATTATCTCAAAAACTTCCATGTTTACATACTTTGGGCAAGCACAATAACTGAGATGGTTGAGCAAGCAGACTATAGGCTGAGCTTCCAAAAATAATGTCAGAACCCAGCTTGCCTTGATCAGGGAGCTGCCAGCTTTTGACTCCAACTCCAGACCCTGTCTATCCTCACTATGATCCACACCAGTAGACTGGATCCTCTATATCAAGCATGTCAAACTCAAAGGCTAACATGGGCCAAATAAACAAGGTTTAAGTTTATGTGGGCCGCAAAAAGACAAAAGCTTCAATTTTCATAGAAACATAGGTTTATTTTGTAGAGACATGCTGAATACAAAGGGCTGAAATAAATTAGTCATCATTAACATAAAATAATAGAACATTTTAATAAAAATTAATATTTTTTCTTGAACATTAACTTACCAGACACTGAATAACTGCACAGATTAATAAGTATAATGCAAATAAACCAATTTTTCTTGTTCTCTGAAAGTGAAATATTTCCTTTTGCGTACACCAAACAAGTCAGTCCAAGACTAAAGACGTGGCAATCGGCTGCTAAAATATTCGCTTGCTAGTATTAGTGGAGAGAAATGGTGCGCCTGCACGTAAGTTGTGTAAGGGAAATGAATGCAACACAATTATAATAATCAGTCATTAGCAAACGTTGTAGTTTGTTATTAATAATTATATATAACAGGGTATTGTAAAAATTAAGTTATGAAATTTTTATTAAAATGTTTCTTACATACCATTATATTGGCTGGACCACAAAAAAATATTCATTGTGGGCCGTGAATTTGACATGCTTGCTCTATATTAAGCCTCTTTTGAGAAACTGCAGTTCTTCGGCATGGTCTCTCATGAGTGTATTTGATTAATAGAACTTAAATCACAATTCTGGATCTTGTAATGTTTTGGGGGAGAATTTCATGCTAGGAAAGGAGGACTTACACTGTAGGGAATTATCAAAATGGGAATCCACCTGCAAGCTATATATTTAACTCAGAACTTATTTCCTAGCTGCAGATTTGTATGGACAACTACAGTTGTAAATCTTAGAAGTGCTTCAAACTTGTCAAGCCCAATGGTCTTAGCTCCCAAGTTGGTGAAGGGGCCTACCATCCATACTCAGGTGTCAGGAAAGAATGGGTCCACATTCCCTCAGTCCTGGTGCCAAGTCAACTCTACTTCCTAAGATTATCCAATTCTGATGAATTCCTTCCCCTTGGACACTGCTCTAAAATGGGCCCTATCCTCTCTTGTCTGTATCCTCCTCATTCTCTTTCTCTCCTCACCTCTAATAACCCCACCCACAGGTGTAAGAATGAACTTGTAATATGTTAATCTTATCATTTTACCAATCTGCTCAGACTTTTTAAAAATATATTTTTATTGATTTTAGAGAGGAAGGAAGAGAGAGAGAGAGAAATAGAAACATCAATGATGAGAGAGAATAATTGAATGGCTGACTCCTCCTCACCCGCTACTGGGGATCAACCCTACAACCCAAGAATCCAACCATGCCCTCCTGGTTCATAGGTCGACACTCAACCACTGAGCCACCTCAGCTGGAGAGAAGATTTTAATAGAGCTCCCATTATCCAGGGGATAAAATCTAAAGCTCTTTAGAGGAATTCAAGAATTACGGTTATCTGACCCAGACATTTCCCATTGTGAAGTTTTCAGGTTAGCAATACTAAATGCTTAAAATGTCCTAAACACATTCTGCTCTTTTATGCTAAGCCCTCTGTCTGCAGAGCCATCCTCCAATTTTCCTCCTTCCAAACTATTCTTCATCCTTTAAATTTAGGTGTAAATATTTGCTCCTAAGTAACAATCATGGTAATCACAGAATGCAAAATTCAACTTAAACTTAAACATTGACAATTTTATGGTATTAGCTTTGGATATAATTGTTATCCTTTCCCCTTCTTTCACTCCTTTATTTTTCTTCAGAACTATTGCAGAGATGGAGGAAAAGAGGCCAGAGAGCCTCAAATATCACTCACACTGAAAAAGCTAACCACCATATTCTTCAATGTCCTGTCTTTAAATGCCCATGAAGAGGGGAAGGAAGCAAATGAAAAATAACAGGTCATTAATAGCTCTAATTTTTTTCTGCTACTCATTATAGTTTGAAAATTCTGCAAAGATAAAACAAATGCCTTAGCATTTCCTTTCATTAATGAAGGAATTTATTTCACTTTAGCTTTTTTTCACTTCTAATTTACTGAGGTTTGAATTGAAGTTCAAAAGAAATAGTTAGTTGCCCAGTTATTTCCTAATCTCCTTCTCCAATCCATTCTTGTAACCAGAACTAAGGTTCAGTACCTGTCGCCATGAAAGCCAAACTCATTAGACCAGCGGTTCTCAACCTGTGGGTCGAACAACCCTTTCACAGGGGTCGCCTAAGACCATCAGAAAACACATATATAATTACATATTGTTTTTGTGATTAATCACTATGCTTTAATTATGTTCAATTTGTAACAATGAACATACATCCTGCATATCAGATATTTACATTATGATTCATAACAGTAGCCAAATTACAGTTATGAAGTAGCAACGAAAATAATTTTATGGTTGGGGATCACCACAACATGAGGAACTGTATTAGAAAGATGTTGGTGAAAAAGGAAAGGGGTTTATTCAACTGCCAGACACATGAGAAGATGAGGGACTCTTGTCACAAAGCCTATCTCTACATCTCAGAGCAGACAGTTTTTATAAGGAGGGAGAGGGAAAGAAGAACAAAGAGGTCAAGGGGAGGCAGTTGAAAAGTTTCCTACGTGCAGGCCAGCACAGTCCATTATAATAAGATCTCAAAAACTGGTCAAGTGATGGTCTTGTATGCATCATCCTGGCCTTTGTCACCTAGTTTTACGGATCAAGGTTAGCAAATTTCCCAGAACTGGGATGACTGATGGTCAGAGTCTGCATCTTCTAAAGTTAGTTCCTAGGATTCTTTTTTATTTTTAATTTATCTTTATTGTTGAAAGTATTACAGATGTCCCCATTGACATCCCCATCAACATCCCACTCCTTCCCCTATCCGAGGACTTCACTGCACTGTTGTCCAAGGGTTATGCATGTATGCATATAAGTTCTTTGGTTGATCTTTTCATGCCCCCTCCTTCCTTCCCTCTGAGATTCTTATATAATCATGCTGTTTATCTATAAGCTAAATATTAGAGTCAGCATTTATAGAAAAAATGTCAAAAGAAGGGTGTGGTGGGTTACAATTCCTCACTGTTACACTTTGAAATATGAAATTAGCTGGGGGATATTTATTACTTAAATTTAGAATGAACAAAATTATTTTTGTTTCAAAACTATAGTAATGACTCACCCTTAAGGCAATTATATATCTGCAAAAACACTGTGAATGATTTCTGGGTGAGTGGTAGTGTATAAACAACATATTTATATAAATATTATTTGGCAATCTCTCTGAACTTGCTTTCTCTCATTATAAATCTATCTACTGACTTCTTTGTTATCACACCAGATACTTCAAAACAAGCCTGGACTAGGAAACCAGATGCTTTCTCTCTCTAGTTGTCCTCTCTCCTGAGTTAGCATTGTTAGTGAGTAATGAAGCAACTTCTGGGTTCTCTTGTTGATTGTGGTAGGGCTGTGCAGATGAGCTTCCAGACGCTGGGTGCTGAATGAAAGGAGCTAACCAAGTCCACACATCTGACCATTAATCTCATCTGAATAGTGTTTGGCCTCCACTGTAATGCTCCCGTTCTACTTTATTCTTGTCCCACTAATATTGGTTTCTCTTCTTATGCAATGGCCCATTTCATGAAAATTACTAGGTATTTGACAGGTAAATAGAATTTAATGTACTTAAATAAAATTGCTACCTTAGAATCTTCAGGGAAAACATATTGATGTTATTTGTGCAACAATCATTTGTTATCAGAATTAAGCAGTCAAGTATGTAAGAATTAATTATTAAACATAGGCTTGCTCTAACTTTAACTTATGATTTTCTAATGATTCTGTCAAAATGACTTTCTAATCTTAGAGCAGCTTGTGTGATTTATAAAGCAACAAAGGGTTAATTCAGTTTAATTTTTCTTTGTTTACTATTTCTGGAGAACCTAAGACATTGTATTAGAGTGATTAGTTAAACCATCAACATGAAATTCTTTTTCTTCAAACTGAAAATTTTCTTCATTTTGATTAAACTTCTTGTAGTTGGTTAAAAGTGATTGCAAGCTGTATGCACTTAGTTACATTTTTTAAAAAGAAGACCAACAAACTAATATGTAAATTTTTAAAAAATATATATTTTTTTATTAATTTTAGAGAGGAACAGAGAAGGAGAGAGAGAGAAACATTGATGAGAGAGAAACGTTGATTAGCAGCCAACTGCATGCCACTTACTGGGGATGGGTGTCGAAACCTGGGCATGTGCCCTGACCAGGAATCAAACCAGCAACCTCTTGGTGCACAGGCCAATGCTCAACTAACTGAGCCACACAGTCCAGGGCAAATTAGAAATTCTTGATTCTAGAGTCAGAATTTTTATTACTAGAGACCAAGAGGACACTGGGTCCATGTGCCCCTTACAGGCTTATAAGATACCAACAATCTGGAGTCCCATTTTTATATGTTGAGTTCAGCTGTCCCCTTCCCCACCAACGTCAATGTATACAGAGAGCCAGTGTACAAAAACCACCCTCCCTCAACCTCTCCACACACCCTATGGAGGAGGACTGTGCCACTGACATGCCTACCTACATCCTGCTCTCCACTTGCTCCCCACATCCTGGGTGGTAGGGGAGATGAAGTTGGATGTAGGCGTTTCTACAACCAGCAGAACATTTGCTCACTATTGTGATGTGGGTATTTAGAACCATCATCTTTTCCTCTGCGTCTCACATCATCAGCACCAATATGAAGTCATTGGAGCACCCAGCCACATGGACCCAAGGGGACATTCTGAAGCTGCCTGGACCCTCAATATTCCCTCAGCCTCTTACAAAAAATTGTACTATCCCCTACATCTTTATGGCACTTCATCGTTGAGAAAGCTCTCTAACTGGCATCATCTCATCTAAGCTTTCTGAGCTGTAATGGGTCAGTAGAATAATTTTTAAAAATAAAGGGTGAAATGGGCTCAGAGAAGTTGAGTAAGTTACAGGAGGTCACAGAGAAGTGGGAGATCGCTTGTCCTAGTCTGGAGTCCTTTCCACAACACCAAACAAATTATAGACATGGAAATAAATACACTTTTGGAGAAAGATAAAACTCCTTACGGGAATAAGCTTTCCATTACACATTTAGAGATAAAGCCTAAATGCAAACCTTCCCCTGATGGTGGGACAGCATTAACAAACGTACCACAGGCTCCCACATATTTAAAAACATTAAACTAATTCCAGGGTTATAGGCTTGATTTAAGACATGGTAGTTAATAGAAAAGTTCTAGATAGAAAATAATTTTAGCAAAACTGTACACCTGTATATATGCAGACATTTAGAAAACATAATGCTTTTGATGTTTGTGCCATTTCTTAGTTACCATTTTACATGCTGTATCCACACCTGCTTCAACCATATACTTTAAGCCACCATATTTTTAATTACCTATGACTCTTTTTCAGTTAATTATAACAAGTAAAATGTTTTAACCAGTGAAGCACTTTCATGAGTAAAAATCCAGATTTTTATAATAAGTTTCTAGGAATAGCTCAGTTTTCACATTTAATATCTGAACCTCATTTATCACAGGTAGCACGAAATTGCTTTTATTTTAAAGAACAGTTATATATTAAGAGCAAAGAGTATAAAATCAATAAATACACTCCCCTGTATCATATAAAATGTGTGTGCCACATTTCCCTAAGAAATTTCTTGCATTTAGATATCCTGGTCCATATTCACCTAAAAGTCTGAGTGTACACTTTACCCAGCAGTTTTTACCTTTGGGCTTTGGTACATTTCATAGAAAGGAAAATACAGGCAGTGGAGGTAGAGGCAGAAGTAGACGACTTCGAGCACAAGAGCCCATCAAATGTATGCTGGGGACAAGTAAAATGAGGACCTCTCCCACTGGGCTTCAGTGACTAAGGGTGGCAACGGTACAAAACGTGCAAGAAGTCAAAGAAATCCTTTTCCTTAATGGGAAAGACCACACCATGCAACGTGAGTGGAGTGATTAAGAAGAAATGTTTATTGGATTCAATGACTCAGCTGATGGCTCATCTAACTTTCACTTGGATTTTTAAAATATGCCCGAAAAAGGTTTTCACATAATTTTTTGTTTCTTGATTTCCCATGGAAACCTCCCATGTGTAATTTATTGACAACATCTCTGAAGAACAGAATTATTGATGTTGTTTGTCTGATGTGCCAGATGATGAAGGAGCCAGAAGACAGCTACAAGTGAAGGCCTTTGTATGATTTCAAAATGTCAGGACGGTGCGGATACTGAAACACAAAATAAAAGATATTATCTTAATATTTATGTAGTTCACATTCTTCCATGAAAGAGTCCAAGGGGCATTTGATGTGTCTCACTGAACAGGTGTCTGTATTTCCTGCCACTCCCTTCCTATCCTTATGTATTCAAGTCAAAGATAGTTCACCTTTTCCGGATTTGGTCTTGTGTTTTCTGAAACCTTAAACTCAAACCTGAACATAGCTGTCATTTAGGCTTTTAATGAACTAGAGGCACGGTGCACGAATTTGTGCATGGGTAGGGTCCCAAGAAGGGTGGGGGCTCCAGGACATGATCGGCCCTCCGTGGGATGCCCTTGCCGGCCTGGAATCTGGATCCGACCTGCTGATGGTCGTGCTGGTTGTCGGGAGCCACCTGGCAGCCACTTTTATAGCCTTTCTTCCCTGCAAAGCATCTAAGGAGGGGAAGCGGCCATGGTGCCTGAAGTGGACTTCCAGGGGGCGGGTGGCACTGTCAGGATTGTGCTGATGATGCTGGTCTATTTGTGCCTGGCCCATTCTCCAGAGACTGGACCTGCAAAAGGAAGTAGCTGCTGCCAGGCTGGTGGGATGCGGGGATGGGTCTGTCAGCAGAGCGGTGCTCTCGCTGTGGGAGCACACTGACCGCCAGGGGGCAGCTTCTGCCTTGAGTGTCTGCCCCCTGGTGGTCAGTGTGCATCATAGTGACTGGTTGTTCTGGTCGTTTTGGTCATTCCAGCTGTTCAGTCTTTCGGTCGCTTAGGCTTTTATATATATAGATTAGGATTCTCAAAAAACATTTCTGAGATCCTACATGCCTGGCATAATAATGAATTGAAAACAACAATGGGGTAATAAGTTCTTGCTGTTTATCACATACTCCGTAGATGTTTCTTGTGCATTTATCACTTAAACTCAACAATGCTATGAGATAGGCTTTAAAGATTAGAGATTAAAAATTATGAGGCTTAGAGATATTTGTAACTTGCTCTAAGTCACACATGTAGTGTAAAGTGCTGGGATTTAAACCTGAATACAAAATTGCACAAATTACAAGATGACAAGTAACTTGCCTGAAGGAAGCAATGATATAATAGTAAATGATGACGATTTAATAGAGCTCTGATAAAGTGGTGCTTAAGGAGCCTTAGTAAGAAGATAAAGCTAGAGAGAGTCCATTCTTGGTAAGATCAGATATATAATATTTACACTGCAACTCATGTCCTTTCTTAAAATCATCTTCTGTTGGATACTTTTAGAAAAATGTGTCCATGCCTTTAAAAATTATTTATATGATATATCATATTAAATGTTACATTATATTAAAACAATCCCAATGTAGTTCCACCTACTCCTATATATAATTTGCATTTACAGCCATTAATGGTCAACCTTTTAGCTGGCCAGGCAGAAGCTGCAGTGACTCCATGTTATGCTTATGACTGTGGGACTCCGATTCTTTTTCTCAGCAAGGGTGAGTCTTCTTTTGTATATAAAGATGAGTGGCTTTGATCATTTAGATTCACTGTAACCAACATATGTAATTTCATTTCAGCAGAACAATGTTTCAGCAGGAAATGCAAAACAACTGTTCCTAGCTTCTCACAATATGATCTTAAATCTTCTACATGCAAAGACTGAACTACTAATGGAAAACCAAGGCACTCCAATGTTTTCATCATACTTTCACCTCTTTTCTCTATTAATCAAACCCCCACCATAAAAGGAAACTTAAAAACTACCTCTTTCCAGAACGAAGCAGGTCAAATGCTTCATTTATTTTCTCAAAAGGTAAAACATGGGTTATTAATGGATCCAATGAATACTTCTTAGCCATAAAGTCAGTCACAAGTTTGGGGACGGAATCTTTACTCTTAAAGCCTGAAAAGAACATGACATCATTGTTAGAGGCAGCCAGGGGTAAGAGACTGGAGAGGAGACTTTCTGAATAGAATTCAAGTGGAAGTTCTACTGCTACTTACTTGTACACAGACTACTATTACTGAGGTCAGTGAGAGACCGAGTGCTCCAATATCCTCTTGCAGTGGTTAGACTTTTTTTTATTGTTGTTACTTAAAAAAATCTGATGAGCTAAACTAGGGTCCTTAGTTATTAGCTCTCTCACAGAGAAATTATTGTATGCATGGTTATTCCCAAAGTCAAGGAGCAAATGTGCAGCTGTCTAGATTTGGGCAATGAGAGTAACCATGAATTGTTGCTATGGACTTCCTGTGTCCTCCTAGGCATATTCCATGCCTTGTGTAGTCACATGTATAAAGAAAAGTGGTGCTGAAAGACCCTAGTTTATGGGGACACCATAAATGTCTATCTTGGGAATGTGTGTATTAGTTCTACTTCTAGTTAATTTGAAGCCTATATATATACAAATGGCTTAATTTATTTAAACCACTTTGCTTCTTAAAAACTCACCTTGGCACTTGATAAAGGGAAGAAATCCTACATAATAAAAGCCTAATATGCAAGTGTCTGGTTGTCTGGTGACTGGTCAACTGTTCAACCAATCAAAGCATAATATGCTAATGATATGCTAAAGCCGCTCAATGCTCGCTATGACATGCAGTGACCACCAGGGGGTAGACGCTCTGACTAGTATGGTTAGCTTGCTGCTGGGGTCTGCCAATCTGGACTGAGCCAGACTAGCCAGACATGCCCTGGAGCCCTCCCTCGGTCCATCCCGACTGGCCAACCTCCCGTGTCCCTCCATGGCTGGTGATCATCGGGACTGGGCAAGATGGGGCCAGACATGACCTGGAGGTCTACTGTGGATGGTCTCTCCCCGGCCCTGATCTTGCACTGGTGGGGTCCCTCAGCCTGGCCTGCGCCCTCTTGCAATCTGGGGCCCCCCAGGGGATGTTGGGGATGTCAGAGAGCCGGTTTCAGCCCAACCCCACAGGCCACTCCCCTCGGGAGGGCGCCAGACACAGGGCTCATGGGTGGTGAGCACTGCTGCTGAAGCAGCACAAGCCTCTCCTGATTGGGACTGATTGGGCGGGAGTCCAAGCAGGCACAGTGGGGCCTGGATGAGCAGGAGTGGTAGGTAGGAGCTGCAGGCAGCGTTGGACTGCGGGTTTCAGCCGATCCTCGCAGGCCACCCAGAGGGACCCCACCCATACACAAATTCGTGCACTGGGCCTCCAGTCAAATGATAAAGATTAATAAAAATTCATCCCTCAAGCCTAAATACATACCACCAAAAACTGCTCCTTTCCAGGTACGCCCACTCAATAGCAGCAGGGGGTTCATGGAGAGATTCTGGGAATCGGGAGGTACTCCTACAATGACGCTTACACCATATGCCTCATGACAGCTTGCCAAAGCAGCCTCCTGGAATATAATTAATATTTGGGATCATTAAAGAGGACTTTCTGATAGTCCTCATTCATGATACATGGTATCTCATAATATTGATTTAGCTAGATTGCAAACATGTGGAGGGAAGAGATTATGTTTATGGCTTCTTCAATCCCATTACACCCAGAATAGTGCTGTAGCTTTTAGAAAATGCCCAGAAAACACTTTTTTAATGAAACAATGGATGAATGAATTTGTGTACTCTTCCTTAATAAAGTAATGAAGAGGCAAATGTTATTACAAACATATCTACTTAAAGTCTGATTCCTAAATAGAAGTAGTGCTTTGTCATCACATGACTCTCAGGCAAAAATAATGAGTTGGTTTACTCATATTTATTTGTTTATCAGATAGATATTTAGAACTCAGTACTTTAAACCAGGTGTTTTGATGGTGAACAAGATATAAGGTCAGTACTTTAAACCACTTTACATTCCCACTAACAGTGCACAAGGGTTGCCTTCTCTCCACGCCCCTGCCAACACCATTTTTGACCCTTTGATAACAGCCATCCTAACAGGAGTGGTGAGGTATTGTCTCTGTAATTTTGATTTGCACTGCCCTGATGATTAATCATGGTGAGCACTTTGTAACATACCTACTGGACTGAAATGAACATGTTTTAAATGAGCTCTTACCTCCCCAAAATGTATACAGTGTATTGGTTTTACTTTAAACTATACCTATAATTCTGAAACTGCAAAAGAAAGCCTTCCTCTTCCAGTCAGGGTTTTAAACATGTAGTAGGACACTTTTTCAGGATCTCCCAGCTATATATACTGATTAGTCCTTTGATTTTGGAGTATGACATCTGGAAAACCAGATACCCGTGAGACACGTGGTTATCAGACATTTGGTGTCTTCAAATAAAGTAACAATCCAATCCCACATGAGGAATTGGAATGAATTTAGCTGGAGATGTTTTCCTCATGGTAATTGTCCATGTTTGTAATTATTTGAAAGTAATGTTATGTATGTTGTAGAGATGATGAAAGCACTGATCACTGAAAACATTACTTCCTATCAGTAGCACCAGATAATATTTAGTAAGAGCTTTCCACTGGACAAGTGGCACTCTGCTAAGTATTTTATACGCATTGTCTCATGTAATCCATAGATATGTATTTCTTATACTTTTTGGTGAAAAAATCTGTCGACTTTTAAAAGTATTCAGTCTAACACATAGCTTTGGCGCTTAATATGTGTGTCAGGCACTGTGCTGAATGCTGTGGTAAAATGGGGCCTGTTTTATGTTAATGAAATGATACTTGTCTTAAATTGCTCACTATTTCTTTTGAGCAAATTGTGATTTATGAAAAAATTGGAAGTCATTAAAACATAAAAATTATTAAACCATTTTGTTTAAAGTTGTGAGGAGAAATTGAAAAATAAAATTTTTCACTTTGAGAACAGCATTAGTATTATTTATGTTTACTTAATTCGAATATTATAACTGAAAGTTAACAAAGTAAATTTTAAATGGCCGAATACTCCAAAAGGGAAATACTACTTGAACTAGGATGGCATAACTGATGGAATGAAACATTTCTTATAATAATAAATAATCCAGTCATTAAATGGGAGATGAAAAATCACTATTCATAGTTTGAAAAATATTCTGTACGTATAATATTCATATTCTGCTGCCTAAAATCACTCCTCAGAATGCAGAAGCACACATTTCATGGCATTCCATGGCACATACATACCATGGTGTCAAGCCGACCAATGACTTCAAATGAAAAATCCACACCTCCACCGCTCATTTCCTTCAGCACCTCGTGGATGGGTTTCTTGAAGTCCTGTGGGCTGATGCACTCGGTGGCGCCCACTTGCTTTGCCTTCGCATATTTGTCTTTGTTGATGTCCACCCCAATGATCCTGGCTGCTCCAGCTGCTTTACAGCCCATGACAACTGACAGGCCGACTCCTCCAAGGCCAAACACTGCACAGGTGGAGCCTGGGGTCACCTATGTTTCAGAAAATGCAAAAATGGATTAAGTAATGATTGTTGTATAAAGTGTCCTGTCTTATCCATTATCAGGACTATTCAGACTCTTATGTCCAACCTGCTGTCAAAACCTGTTTTGGTTTCAGTTGCTTCATATTTAAATTGAGGAGTTTCAATCTGTGGTTCTCAAACTTTGCCAGACATTAGAGCCCCGTGGGGAGCTTTAAAAGCTCTCAATGGCCAGGTCACAGCCCATAGCCAATTACATCAGAACCTGTGCAGGTGGGGCCTGGTTCCCAGGTGATTCCAATGGGAAGAAAGCCCAGGCTGGGAGCCCACTGTTGGATGATCTCTGAGCTCTAAATGCCAATGACTCCCACCTCGAAGAGAATCTCTAGGGGCTGAAATCCATTGACAGGCTTCGGTAAATTGTACATACACAGAAGCAATTTTGGGGAAATGAAATAAGTGGGAAAGGTTAATCCATGAGATCAAAAATAATCGAATCAAATGTTCAATGTTTAACTCCTTGTTTCATTAGCTTTAGAAGTCATGACCAGTACAATGAGAACAGAAATTAGCTGTAGGGTAGAGAAGAGTTATTCTCAGCTTCAAGTCAAACATAACAACAGGGGAAATGGAACCGGAAACTTTAAACAGCTTGAGACCAATGTGATCTTAGTGGGTCTTTATCTTTGCTTTTTAAAATACACTAATGAGCAATAATGCAATAAAAGTTGGCCTACATTTTAATAATGGATGAGATTCCTTTTCATGAGTGCCCTTGCCTCTGCTCTGTGTGCAGGCTCAGTTAGACCACCTGCTCAAACAGACGAGGCAATTGCACAAGGGACTTAGTGCTAGAGTCACTGAATTTGAAAAACATGTGCTCTCAGTTGTTGAAATTGGCTAGGGACTGTTTAATACACCTAGTCAGCTATAGGAGTCAGCCTTCAGTGTGGGTAAAATATTCCTTCTGTCCCAAGTAATCAAGTATTCTCTGGGGGTACAACATTAATTTTTACATTACTTAAAGAAATATGAGACTTGTGACTGTGATTTTAAAATGCAGGCAATTATATATTACTAGAGGCCCAGTGCATGGATTCGTGCACATTGAAAGGAAATTAATTAGAAGGTGGCTGGTGGGGCGGGACTGGGCGAGAAGAGTGGGACATACCCTGGAGCCAACCTCGCTCGGAAGCCACATGTGGGGCAGTGCTGGGGCTCGAAGAGCATCTGCGGAGTGAGCAGGGTCCTCCGGCAGGTGGGGTCCCTCAGCCTGGCCTGCAGGGATTGGTCGAAACTGGCAGTCCGACCTCCCCCTAAGGGTTCTGGAGTGTGGGAGAGGGCACTCTGCAAAGTTGCTGTCACTCAGCAGCTCTTGAGTTGAGCATCTGCCCCCTGGTGGTCAGTGTACATCATAGTAAGCAGTTGGGTCATTCTGCTGTTCAGTTGATTGGCATATTACCCTTTTATTATATAGGATGGTTTAAGATGCTGTAGGAGAAAGACATGCTAGTTACAGCCATAAGATTTTGGGCAAGTAGCATTATGGATTTGGGCCTACTAGATTTCCAGCCTTTTGTGAAGAGGGGCCTTTAAAGAATTTCTCCTTCAAATCTACCACCTCTGAAGAGCGAGGGAGAGAGAGAGAGAGAGAGAGAGAGAGAGAGAGAGAGAGAGTTCACGGCAGGGAGGAGATGAAGCAGTGAGATCCCCTAATGAGTGGAAAAAATGCATAATACATCACCTTATCTTCCTTGCTTTCCTCATAGGGTTCCAAAGGGCAAGTAGGTTGGTGATGCTTGGTCTGGAGGTGTAACAGGTAAGGCTTTGGAATCTACTACTGGTCCTAATTCTGGGAGTAGCGGTTCGTGGTCTAGATGCTCCTCAAAAGCAACTCTGTCATTTCATTTACTTTTGCTGCCTCAGGACCTAGAGGGTCATACTGTACCTGGTGCATGTTTGTGCTGACTCACCGTAGAATGAATGACCCGTAAGGTCCTAGCTTTAAAATTTAGTAATCCCATAAAGAACAAATATAGAAAAATAATGATTGAAAATGGCACCTTTACTTTTTCTTCACTACTTATCAACAGCGTTTTCACTTTTTATAAACAGATTAACTTTCTAGCTTACGCTCTTAATGTTTTCTGAGGGCATTTTCTACTCATAATCAACACTAAATTCTATGGAGTATGTCAATGTTGTTGTGGTAGTGGGAAGGGGGGAATCTACCAGCAAATCTATGAAGAATGACCTCTGAGTCTTGTGAGAAATCGCTTTCCTCTTTGTGGCTGACAGCCCGAGTGCAACTGCTTTGTCATCTGTTGTCATTCCTACCTTGGCAACTTTGACAGCAGACCCATAGCCAGTTGTGAATCCACAGCCAATCAGACAGACTTTCTCTAGAGGTGAGGCTGCATCAATTTTGGCCACTGAGATCTCGTCCACCACTGTGTACTGGGTGAAGGTGCTGGTGCTAAGGAAGTGGTTGATGGGCTTCCCTTTGCAGGTGAACCTGGTGGTACCATCCTGCATGGTCCCGCGAGGCATGCTCAGACTGGCCAGTGCAACACACAGACACACAAGGGCATGAGACACGTGCATAACAGTGTGCAAATTCATTGGCTGTGTAAGGAGAGTAACAGAAACTTACTCATTTTTCACACAGAAGTTGCCTTCCGGATGTTTACAAACATTGCATTTTCCACACTGGGGAGTAAAGAGTGGGATGACTTTATCACCTAGAGGGGGAAAAAGAAAATTCTTATTAAATTTCTACCCAGGAATTAATAGAGCAAGCACTCAAAGCTTATGGCTATGTATTAGAGGCAGCTGTCTTTCAGAAATAGGATTCAGTCACCATGATGCCATTAGACATTGCCTGACAGCATTGTTATTGGTTTGGGTTTGTATGTGCCTGAAGATTGCCAAAGAGGACATATGACTGTGGGGACAAACATGGATTTTAAAGTATTTCCACTGCATTAATAATTATCTTTTATTCCATGCCCTTTCTCTTGGTGATTTTGCATCTCAGTTAACTCTGAATAATTAAATCTCAAATGTACTCACTGTAAGTATATATATATAAATTTTAGTTATGAGAGGCTGCCATGGGATCACTAGATGTTGGGGACAGCCAATATTTTATAATAGTTTGGGATATAGTAAAAAATGAGAATTTTGACAACCATTAATGGCTTTTCAAAGAGACTGCGTATGCTCTAGCTGGTTTTGCTCAATGGATAGAGCGTCAACCTGTAGACTAAAGAGTCCCAGGTTCGATTCCTTTCAAGGGCACATGCCCAGGTTGATGACTTGATCCCCAGTGGGGAGCGTGCAGGAGGCAGGCAATCAATGATTCTCTCTCATCATTGCTGTTTCTATCTCTCTCCCCCTCTTCCTTCCTCTCTGAAATTAATAAAAATATATTTAAAAAATTAAGAACACAAAGTGACTGCTTATTTTTATTATAAAATGAGTTTCTATTTTTTTAATTTTAGTTTTCTTAAAGAAAAAATAAGAAGAATGTGACAAAAAGAATTAAAGAAATTCCTTTGAAAATTTCAACCCTCAGCAATGAGGTACTTCCTTTTATGATGAGAACTGATTTTTATGTGTTTTTACCTGATAACTTAATTTGTGAATTATTTATTTTGCCTGCTATGGGGGAGGGAGCCGGGGTGAAAGTAAAAGTGTCATTTATTGTTAATTTATTTCTAAGTAAAGGTAATACTAAGAGCTGAAACTCAAACCAGACCATATATTTTAATATTTTCTCTCAACAATATGAATAAGTATTTGGCAATGGGGGAGGTCAAATCTACTGGCTAAAGTTATTTTCTTTTAGAATTAAACATTATTTTTGTTTTCAACTAGCTATTCTCCATATCCACAAAACCCACAAAAAGGGTTAGGCCATAACATTTAATAGATAAACTTTATATGGAGATTATCGCATGAACATTTTATATTTACTCACTCTTTACCTCTACGAATATTTATCTATATTAATGCACAATAAAATTAAGACAAAATAAATGTTAAGGATAAACTAGTACCCTGTAACCAGTCACAGTTATCCATGGTTTAATGTAGTAAAACAGATATTGTTCATTTCAGGGGCCTTCTGCCAGGTCTCTCCTTGCCTCCTAACTAGTCTGTTTAATTCATTCTGTGCTCAAGAAGGGAGGCCATAGTGGAAGGAAAACCCAGTGAATGGGTTCCACCTCCCACCTAGAGGAGATCTTGTTGATTCAGTCAGAGCCTCAGTGTTGTATCTTAAATCAGCGAGATAGGGGAGAACCAAGATGGCGGCATAGGCTAACGCCGGAGTTTGCTGCTTTGAACAACTACTTCAAAAGTGAAACCAAAAAACGGAAGGGACATCACCCAGAACCACAGGAACGCTGGCTGAGTGGAAGTCCTACAACTAGGAGGAAAGAGAAACGCATATGGACACTCAGAGGAGGCACAGTGCTGAAGTCAAATTCTGAGGTGCGGATTGCGCAGAGCTGGCTGGCGGCAGAGGGCGCGGTTGGCGTTTTCAATCAGGAGGGAGTCGCAGAATCTGAGCTCCAGATCCGGGCGAGTCTTTAGGGACCCAGACTCAAATGGGAGAAGCGGGACTGTCTGGCTTCGGTCAGAGCGAGTGCAGCTTTCTCTCCGAGCTTTGCAGCGGGTGCTGGGACTCAGAGAGGCAGAGCCCCTGGGGACAGGACTGAGAGCCGCCATAACTGCTCTCTCCGGCCCACCCTGTTGATCCTGTGCGACTCACCCCGCCCAAGCCCTACACACAGGCATTTGCCGGATAGCCTCAGGCAAAGGCTAGATTAGCACCTCCCTAGAGGACAGAAGTTCTCTCACTGCTGACACAGCTGATTCTCATAGCCACTTGGCCTGGAGGTCAAACCCTCCCTGGAATTAGCTACAACAATCAAGATTTAAGTATAAGACTTCGAACAAAGACCACTAGGGGGTGCACCAAGGAAGCATAACAAAATGCGGAGACAAAGAAACAGGACAAAATTGTCAATGGAAGATATAGAGTTCAGAACCACACTTTTAAGGTCTCTCAAGAACTGTTTAGAAGCCGCCGATAAACTTAATGAGATCTACAAGAAAACTAATGAGACCCTCGATCTTATATTGGGGAACCAACTAGAAATTAAGCATACACGGACTGAAATAACGAATATTATACAGACTCCCGACAGCAGACCAGAGGAGCGCAAGAATCAAGTCAATGATTTGAAATGCGAGGAAGCAAAAAACACCCAACCGGAAAAGCAAAATGAAAAAAGAATCCAAAAATGGGAGGATAGTATAAGGAGCCTCTGGGACAGCTTCAAGCGTACCAACATCAGAATTATAGGGGTGCCAGAAGATGAGAGAGACCAAGATATTGAAAACCTATTTGAAGAAATAATGACAGAAAACTTCCCCCACCTGGTGAAAGAAATGGACTTACAGGTCCAAGAAGCGCAGAGAACCCCAAACAAAAGGAATCCAAAGAGGACCACACCAAGACACATCATAATTAAAATGCCAAGAGCAAAAGATAAAGAGAGAATCTTAAAAACAGCAAGAGAAAGAAACTCAGTTACCTACAAGGGAATACCCATACGACTGTCAGCTGATTTCTCAACAGAAACTTTGCAGGCCAGAAGGGAGTGGCAAGAAATATTCAAAGTGATGAATACCAAGAACCTACAACCAAGATTACTTTATCCAGCAAAGCTATCATTCAGAATTGAAGGTCAGATAAAGAGCTTCACAGATAAGGAAAAGCTAAAGGAGTTCATCACCACCAAACCAGGATTATATGAAATGCTGAAAGGTATCCTTTAAGAAGAGGAAGAGGAAGAAAAAGGTAAAGATACAAATTATGAACAACAAATATGCATCTATCAACAAGTGAATCTAAGAATCAAGTGAATAAATAATCTGATGAACAGAATGAACTGTTAATTATAATAGAATCAGGGACATAGAAAGGGAATGGACTGACTATTCCTGGGGGGGAAAGGGGTGTGGGAGATGCGGGAAGAGACTGGACAAAAATCGTGCACCTATAGATGAGGACAGTGGGTGGGGAGTGAGGGCGGAGGGTGGGGCGGGAACTGGGAGGAGGGGAGTTATGGGGGGAAAAAAAAAAGAGGAACAAATGTAATAATCTGAACAATAAAGATTTAATTAAAAAAATAAAAAAAAAATAAATCAGCGAGATAGATACGAGACGCCTTAATGAGCCAATTAATTAGGAGTCTTTATTCGCGCATTCCCAGAGGGAGGTGTTTCCCCAATCTCTGAGCAAACACATAGAGGAAGTTTTTTCTATTTATAACTTTTTGAGCCCTTTGTCTACAGATTTCACAAAAAGCTCTGTGTAGGTCATTGTTACAAACAGTTTGTAACCTTGAATACATAATGAACTAACACTTGGCATAAGAATATGGGAATTATTATCAGTATCGGTATTAGCCTGTTAAGTCAGATGGCTAGCTTGCAAGGTCAGACAGCTAAGTTGTGGGGTTTTTTTTATCTTTTTCTACTATTCAAACTAAAACAATTATTTTACAGAATAAAGGACTATCTAAAAATGACAGAGTTGACCTACAGAATAAGAGACTGTCTAAGAATAACATAGTAGTTCAAACAGCATTTCAACAGCAGTTTTCCAAAGGAGGACTCACTATGCTTCATCAGGGTCCCCATCCTGGGAAGTCAGCACTGAACAGTTCCCATGCGCTGACCTATAGGCTCAGGACACAGACTTAGATGTTTTTCCTGTGTCCCATTTGTAGTTTTTTTTTTTTTGGACCTGAGAGAAAACAGTGCTCAGCGACACTGAAATGGAAGTTATTTGATTATGACCTCAGGGAGTGGGTCCCTTTTGATCCTCATGTATCCCAGGATCTAACCTGGTGCCTGACAGATAGCAGGCGCTCAACAAATTCCTGCTGAAGGAGAGAACACAGGAGTGCATGAAAGCATACATGTCTGAGACAGGAAGGGGGCAGGAAAGAAGGAGACCTCTGTTCAAGCCCTAGTTGTGCTGCTGCCCTCGGCAAGGTCTTACATCTCTCATTGCTTCAGTTTCATCACCCAGGCTGGGTGATCTTGGGGTCCTGAACAGTACCTTCTCCCAGTAAGAGTCCTATACCTGGCTTTACTGTAGTCACCCCTTCTCCAATGCTCTCCACAATGCCAGCTGCCTCATGGCCTGCGATCACAGGAAGAGGTGTGACTATGTTTCCACTAACCACGTGGTCATCTGACCGACAGACTCCTGTGGCCACCATCTACAAGGTAAAGGGAAGATAATTAGGTCCAGAAAAATTGTGGCCCGCAGATGGACTTCACATGCCCAATTTCCTGAAGTTGGGCTTTTGAAGAGTTTTCAAGGATTTTTTCTAATAATCTCTACTCTAACCAAATACACAAGATCCTGCTTCTCAAGATGACTCAGATTAAAACCCTCCTATACTTTCCTCCCTTGCCTTAGGCAAACCAGAGTAATCTATGAAATAATTATTTTTCAAATATTTAAGTCTTATGTAATAAACAAGAATGCATTCTTTTTTATAGAAGTAGAAACTACAGATTAGCACCAAGAAAATTAAGTCAGTTAAGTTCCACCATGTAATGCTAATTGATTTTGAAATCTTGATTATTATATATATGTTTGTATATATATATATATATTTTCTTTTGCACTTTTTCCTGTATAAATATATCAATTCTTTTTTATTTTATTCTTGTGAAAGAATTTTAATCTAAAATGGAACTGAGGGATATAAAGACAGAAATCTCATGTATTTGCCATCAGGAAAGCAAAACACAAGAACTGAGAAATCAATTTTCTGTAAATGCCAGATTTACAGAAAACTGATAATATTGGAATTTTCCTATATGATAAAAAGTTGGTCAGGAGTTACCTCATATCAACCTTTGGGAAATTTTGAACTAAAATGACTCTGGTAGGATTCATCTCACAAAATAAGCTGAATTGAGCTTTGTTTGTATGACTGGATTGTTTTTTTTCTCCACGGAAAATTTTCAACACTTGCGTCCATTTGTTTTTGTTTCAAAGATGAAAAAAAGTGTTTAATGAAATAAAAAAAAAGAACACATGGCTGCAATATTATAATCAGATTAAGAAAAATTCAAGGCCCAAACTAATTAAATGAGACAAAAAAATAGTATCCTATCTAATAAAAGAGTAACATGCAAATTCACCATCACTCTGCAACAAGGATGGTGGTGCCCATGGTGGGGCCCATAGCGGCTGGGGCAGGACACTGCCAGCATCACCCCGGGAATGTGAGCCCAGCAGGCATTCGCCGCAGCGACCCACGAGCAGGCAAGCGTGGCCCTCAGGCAGCACCCAGCAGGTCCTGCTTGCTCTTCGCCATGGTGTGGAGCAGGCAGGCCCTGAAGAGAGCAGAGAACCATGGGGAGCGGGCCCAAGCTGTCAGTAGGACATCCCCTGAGTGCTCCCGGATTGGAGAGGGTGCAGGTCGGGCTGAGGGACCACTCCCTGTGCATGAATCTCATGCACTGGGCCTCTAGTTATATAATAATAAAAATACCTTTATATATATATATATATATATATATATATATATATATATATATATATACACACACACACACACACACACACATTTTAACAGACTATAACTAAATTCTCCCCTCTTTAAATTGCCTGCCCATAAGTACAGCCTAGCCCCAATCCTCCAAGGACTGCTACAATTTGCATGTTTCAAATAGCAACTACTCTTTTATTCTTGAATAAATTCATCTTTTTGACCATTTTGAACTTGACTTGGTTTACCTCTTTATTGAGGTTGACATTAGGATTATACTATACATACTGTCTGTTCTATTTTTAAAAGTTTAGCAATTTGTATTTTTATCTTTCCTTGACAAGAAATGTAATTCCACTGTTTGGATTACCTAGGGCACTTACCTAGGTCTCCTGGTTCTATCCCTGGTTGAGGCATGTACAGGAGGCAAGGCAACTGATTGAGATCTCTCTCTCTCTCTCTCTCTCTCTCTCTCTCTCTCTCTCTCTCCCTCTCCCCCCCTTTTCCTCTCTCTCAAATCAATGAACAAACAAACATATCCTCTCATGAGGATTAAAAATAAGTGCTTCTTAATAAACTTTGTGTTATTTCCATTTGTACTATTCTCTGAATTTTCTTATACCTAAAATTTAAAAGAAGTGAAAAAAGTGTTTCACCTTTATACGGACTTCATGAGCCTTAGGGGGTGCTACCTCCACCTCCTCAATGGAAAAGGGTTTCTTTATCTCCCATAGCACAGCTGCTTTGCATTTTATTACCTGGAAATTGAACAGAAAGATGACACAAGTGCTTACCCACTCTTGAAGTCAGGGATTGTGACTTTCATCTTTTTATGTGCAACATCTAGCCCCCTGTCTGATAAATGTTATATAGAAAAGGACAACTTCTGATTTGCAAAAAGAATGGAAATACCTTTTTAAAAAGTGTAAAGTAATAACATAAGAAAATAGAAATAGAACTAACTATAATGAGGCATTGAGATAAAATGGAATATGTTCTTTTAGGTCATCCTTATGTTGTTTCTTTTTCCAAGGGTTGTTTATTTGTGATATTTCTTAATGCAGTCCTGAAATTGGTTGTTTGCCCACAACTGTTGCCTTGCAATGAAGTTTTAAATCACAAATATTTCACTGATAGGATCACTGTCTGGTCACATAAAATCTATTACTCTCTTGCTCAAGTCTCTGCTTAAGCCCCAAACAACCAGACTTTATGATTCCAGTGCATACTTGCCTCCCTGCATAGGTGACTTCTCTTTCTCCTTGCCTGTCCTCCTCCTCCGATTTCTATCCTTACTACTTCAGTGTGCTATTAGTTTGCATGACTCATTTGAAAGTGAACTTTGGCAGCTCGGTTTTCTTTTCTAATTTATGTGTTAGATGTGAGCCAAAAATCACAGAGGTTACAGCTGTACACACACACACACACACACACACACACACACACACACACATACACACACATACTCTTACCGACATACACACACATATATATTTTGAAAGATCAATTGAAATGTATGCTTTTGCAAATTAATTTTCATTATTTATATGTCAAATTCTCCCACTTTTCCAAGTGTTTGTCATGATCAATATCACAATAAATATGAGAGTACTTAGAAATAATACACTAATAGTACATAGCTTCTGATTATCAAGTGTTCATTTAATGGGCAGGCACATTGTGGCCAATGCTGAATGAGTTACATACTGATCTTTAAAGCCTACAGGGCAGTATTGTTAAGTTATTGGTCTATTTTCAGATGGCAAAGTTGAGGCTCAACTGACTCAGTATCTGACTGAGTAATTTTTGCAAAGTCACAAAGTTTGCTCTCCATGCAATTAAGATCAATCCAACTTTATCTTTTCAACAACCTATGGTAGATTAACCAAAGTTTAAATAACAACAACATCAGTAGCAGTTACTAACATTTATTGAAGTATTTCTATGTACCAGGCCCTATCCTAAGTGCTAAGGAGTATTAATTTATTACATTCTCACACCTATCTTATGAAGTAGGTGTTATTATGATTGCTGTTTTGCATTTGAGAAAAATATAATGCAGGAAGAATAAACAGGTGAAGTGTTACCACAAAGCTGAAAGCTATGGATGTTGCCCCAGAGGGGGAAGAACCGATTGCTTAGCATTTACTGTTTTCATAAATACATTCGGTTTACCCATTTGCTCTCTGAACTCACTATTTCTTGCAAGCTGAGTTTTGACAAATTTATTTTTAATTTTTCCTAACTTTTCTTCATTTGGAATGTAATTCGCCATCATAATGGCTAATCAGCAACAAATGAAAATAAAGAGGGCTGAAATGAAAAAACTGACAATTGGCTCCCTTGAGATTTCCAACAAATCATATTGATATATAGGCCTTTTGTATAACACAGGGTGTGTAGGAATCTCAGAAACTTTCAGTTGTGTTATCATAGCAAAATATTAGAGTGTGTGTTCCACTCCTAATACAGTGAAAGTACCGGACACTTTTTGGGACTGAGCAGTTAAACAATGTGAATTGATTATACTGAATGGTCACATTCAATATAATCAAGTGCATTTTTCTGCACTTGTAAGCACATTGAAGAGGGAAAAAGATCTATGGGAGACGTAGAACCAGATATCCCTGTTCCTACTACTAATAAGTGATTCAAACTATATCAGTATTAACTTTTGATAAAATCATGTTGACTTTTGTATGGAGAAAATATTTTTCTTTAAGATTTCTGTGGAAATTTCCTGCATTGAGCCATCATAGGACCCTTTAAAATTAGAATTTGCATGTTGATGTTGGCTTGCTTATCCTTGATGATTCTAATACTTTGAGATCAATAAAACTTATGTCAGACTTAACTTTCCTCCTGTGTTCATAAAAACAAAAATATGATTACAAAACAGTAACGTGTAAGTTATGGCTTCTTAATACAAAGTTAAATTATTGATTAAAAATATTTCTAACATCAGCTTTTCAAGTTATGCATGATTGCCTGTAACTACTGCCCATTTACTTAATATACAAAATAAAGACTTTAATAGGTACAGAAGCTATATATTCTTTTAAAGATATTTTAGCAACAATCCATTTAAATTCTGGTTCAATATACATTGCATAATAAAGCATATATTTTATTTTATGTTTCAGTTTATATGGCTTTTAATTTAGATATAAATTTTATATTATTCATTAAATATTATTTCTCTCTGTGAATTATATGAGAATATATTTTAAAAAGTTAAAAAAAAATGCTTACTTTTCCTGCTGTGCTCATGTTTCTGTTCTTTCTGCAGGCCAGGAGGCAGATGGGTTCTGGCAGACCTTCTCCTGCTCGATTACATGAAACAGATATGTTGCACAGATATTTTATTTGCTTGAGCAACATCCAGTTCCACGCATGTGATCTGCTGTCTTTAAGCCACACCCACAAGTTTATTCTCAAACTAGATCAAATCAGAGAGAAATGGGCCAGCCCTCAGACCTGGACTTTGTAATATGCCAATTACAGGTCACAGCTTGATTTCTTTAGTTAAATATTTGTTTCCACGTAAATTTAATCTCTCTCCCACTTTTTTTCTGGATTCCACTTATATTCTCTCCCAGTGCTCTATTTCCCATTTGTGTGCACTAAGCTGCAACTTCTAATCCTCATGCTGCAGTTAGAAAGAAGGAGCAGTAAGGAAGCAGCACAAATGACATAGGACAGAGAGAAGTACAAGCCAGAGGAATGTGTTTGCCCCAGCACCCTCCTCCTCTTCATAGCAGAGAGGTCAGACACCAGTCATTTACAGAAAGGGTGCTCATGACCCTGGCATTTCTGCTCTACTCAATACCTAGCAGCACTGACTGAGCACCTCCCTGTTCCAGGCATTCAGTTGAGTGCACTGGAGTGGGGGGCAAGGAGGGATAAGAGATGGCCTCTACCTTTGCCCAGAGGCAGTACAGGGTCATGCTTATGACATGGCCTTGGATTCCAGGCAGACCCTATCTTTACCAGCTGCGTGAATTTGCCCTTATTTGTAAAATAATAGAATAATAGTACCATCTCAAAGCATTGTTTGTTAAACAAATGAGACAATCCCTTTAAAACACTTACCAGGAAACCTGGCAGATAGGACAATCTTCAATAAATATTAGCTACAATGATTACCCATAAAAGAAACTCACAATCTATGGCAAAAAAGACACAGGCAAACAAGTCAGACCATCGGGTTGTGCTATTTTAAAGGAGGGCATCTGACTGAAGGTCTCAAAGGAGGCTTTGTAGAGAGAACATTCTATTAAAAACTAAATAATGATCTTTTTCGCAGAGTCAAAAAAGAAAAACACTCACCCTTGTGCAATTCTATTATCCTTTGGTTAGTGCCATGAATAAGAGAAAGAATATGAGTTTTATTTTTAATAAATCTCAAGTCTTCTACCAACACTTGGGGAGCATACTGCATTCAACTACTTAATTAGATATAAACTGTCAACATGTATGCATTAGCATAAAGGGTACATTTCTCTAAAATTGTCAAGGGAATGACACTATTATCTGTTTTCAACTTTACTTATGTAAGTGTAGTTGGTCATATTGGGCTACACTACATCCACCCAGAAGAGAAAACACTGCTTGTACAGAATGGTCACCACCTTGTTCTCCCTGCTGCTTACCTTCACTTGTGCAGAGCAGGATGAAGAAAGGGAGTCTGACCACTTTTCAGAGTTTCTGGGAGGCATCAAGGAGCTCATATACCCCAATCAATTTAGAAAGATTCATTGGACTTAACATGAGTTTATAGAGTGATGGTGGGATAAGTATTAGGAATAATTTGAATTCAATTTATGTTAGTCCATTTAGGCTGCTGTTAAAAAGATCCGTTTAACAGCAAACTAGTTTAAACAACAATTTATTTCTGGTAGTTTTGAAGGCTGGGAAGTCTAACATCTAGGTAAAGATGGATTTGGTGTCTCGTGAGAGCCCAACTCTTGGTGTATGGACAACCATCCTCTGTGTTGTCACATGGTAGGAAGGGCAAGGGAGTTCTCTGGAGTCTCTTTGTATAAAGGCATTATTACTCCAAGTTATGAGGGCTCCAGCCTGTGATCTAATCGCCTCCCAAAGGCTCCACCTCCAAATACCATGACATTAGGGATTAGGTTTCAACATATGAATTTGGGGAGGACACAACACTCAATCTATAGCAGGTGTCCAACCTGGTTCAGGTGTCCAGCCATGAAACAATCAATTAAAACCAGACAGTTGAGATCGTGCAGCTGTAGAGAGCTCCACAATTTCCAATGGTATCACGAAGCTGATAAGTGACAGTGGCAGAATCCTTAACCAGATCTGTCTAAACCCATATATTTTCCACTACTCTACAAATATAAAGCAAAGCATAACAGAGTTGGAGTAAGACATTCTGCTATCTATCCAAAAAGCCCCCACCATTTTAGAAGTGTCAGAAAGAACACTCCTGGCAAGGAACTCCAAAATTATCCATTCCAAATTTCTTGTTTTATAGGCCAAATGTCATGGCAAAGCAATGTGGCTAATATTTACTTAAAAGATACTTGGAAAACAAAAAAGATGTAACTCTTCTCATGGGTGCATAAATAATCTAATAGCTTTTGGATATCATGGGGTTGAGGCGGGGTAAGGAGAGAGGTTAATAGTAGCCAAACATTTAAGCTGCTAAGTCAATATGTTTGATCTACCCAAAACCAACACCATAAATTGTTCTTGGCAGTTGTTGTTTTTTCTGAGCACCAAACTAAAATAATCTGAATGCTTAAGTGAAATATATGGGTCAGCTTGATGAAGAGGTATGCAAATGATCATTTTTGTGATGCTGCAGAAATAAAAATATTGTATAATGATTGTAAAGTAATGCAAATGACATGAACTCCACTGTGTTAGTAATATAGAAATATGTACCAGGGAAGGATGAATGGACAGAAAAGTGGTTCTCACAGGCTGATCTGATGAGAAATTCATATCTGGGCAGGTGGTGGTGCAGAGTTATGCCCAGGCATATAACTCCTTTAGTAAAAGAACTATCTTTGCCCTAGCTGGTTTGGCTCATTGGATAGAGCATCGGACAACGGACTGAAGGGTCCCAGGTTCAATTCAGGTCAAGGGCATGTATGTTGGTTGCAGGCACATCCCCAGTAGGGGGTGTGCAAGAGGCAGCTGATCGATGTTCCTCTCTCATCAATGTTTCTAACTCTCTATCCCTCTCCCTTCCTCTCTGTAAAAAAATCAATAAAATATATATTTTTTTAAAAAAGAACTATCTGCCAAAACCGGTTTGGCTCAGTGGATAGAGCGTCAGCTTGCGGACTGAAAGGTCCCAGGTTCGATTCCGGTCAAGGGCATGTACCTGGGTTGCGGGCACATCTCCAGTAGGAGATGTGCAGGAGGCAGCTGATCGATGTTTCTCTCTCATCGATGTTTCTAACTCTCTATCTCTCGCCCTTCCTCTCTGTAAAAAAATCAATAAAATATATTTTTTTAAAAAAAGAACTATCTTTGCCTTAAGCAAGCCTTGTCCATTGTTTCAGTGCATCTGAGTTAACACTCCTTTGAAATGCGTCTTTTAAGGCACCTCTTTCTAAAGTGTCACACCCGCAAGAGAACATAGAATCTTATTTACTGTCTTGTCCTTCAGTCCATTCCTTGCTGAATGTGATGTTCCTTACGATTTCTTCTCTTTTTAAAAAAATTGTTTTTATTGATTCAGACAGGAAGGAAGAGAGACAAAGAGAAAGAGAGAGAGAAGCATCAATGATGACAGAGAATAATTGATCGGTTGCCTCCTGCACAACCCCCCACAACCGCCACTGGGGATCAAGCCCACAATGTGGGCATGTGACCTCCTGCTTCATGGGTCGATGCTCAGCCACTGAGCCACACAGGCTGAGCCTTACATTCTCTTAATTCCAAATGCATAAAGGAAGCTGCAAACTGCCATTTTTCAGAAGCATTTTTCTCAGTCTGTTGAGATCTTACTTCCAGGTATATCCTGTTTGACTTAAATAAATTATTATAAAAATTGCCTACAGTTTTGGATATTCACACATCAACAGATTTTTAGGTAACCTTAAAATATTCTGAGTGGGCAGAAATGTGGAACAGACTGGTCACACATCCACATGTGGTGGTTAAGAATAGGGAGGAACACGTTGGCCGCTGAGATCCCCACTGAAGAGTGTGGAGTTTCAGCTCCAAAACCTGCAGCTCCTGTGCTGAGAAGAGAAATCCCCACTGCCGCTGGCTGTGAAAATCAGCAGGGACTCACTCTTGGTGAGATGGAGGGCTGCTGTAAATCCAGGCATTCTCTTAAAGGGCCCATCAAAGCCTCACTTGCTCACAACACTTACTCTAAGCTCCAGAGAAGGGACAGCAACTCAAAGAGTCTCAGGGACATATGGGGAGAAACTGATTTTCTGGTGAGGGCTGGAGGGGCAGCAATCTTAGAGACTAAAGTGCTGGCAGATGCCATAGTTCCTTTGTTGACCCCTTTACCCCCATAGTCTGCAGGCAGGTGCCAAATCTGAGTCTTCATCAACTTGGCTAACACTGCTCTTACCCCACCCTGGTGATGCTCTGAGAGCCAGTATCATCTAATTCACACGCCTGGCCCAAAACCTATTTCAGATGATAATCCACACAAGCAGCTGGCCTTGGTCCATGCTATGGGCTTTCTTTGTTTCTCAAAGGTCCACAAATCCAAAAATGCCTTCAGATGCCCTGTACTTCTTGCTAAGTGGTCCAAAGTTCAGCACTTGTGGCAGCTGGCCATAGTTCACAGCATAACATTTCCAGTTGTCCCTAGGTCCAGCACAGGCAACTACCAACCACAGATCACTTTGTAGTTCCTATCATGCAGTCCTAGGTCAGACAAAGGCAGCAGCTTATCTTTGCCTGAACCAGAGCCTCTCTCAAGAATCCCCAGAACCAACACACCTGGTGGCCAGCTTCAGACCACACCAGAGCACCACCCAATTAATGCTGCTAATAACATACCCAAAGGGTGGACTTGGCAGGCACCACATCCCCACCAAAGTGAATTCCACTCTGTGGGGTCAGTCCCCACATAACAGCTTGTCCACTGTAGTCATGGCCAGTCCTCACAACCAGTCAGCCCAAGAGTCAATCCCACCAACTAATGTGCCAATATCAATCGAGGCTCAACTACAAGAAGAGAGTACACACAGTCACACAAGGGGCACCCTGGAACACCTGGCTCAGCTGAACAGGGAGACTGTGCCACTCAACCTCACAGGATACATTCCATATAAGGTGCCATGACTAGAGATGTAGTAGATCTACCTAATACATA